AACCTAACAAGAATTTTGCCGAAGTATTATTATTTAGCTTAGATTCATCAAGTTTTTTGTTTATTTTTTTTATTTCTTTGATTTCTCAATGAGAACCTAAGACTATGTTCTCTGCTGTAATTTTACAGGTCACAAGGTCATTTACTTAATAATAAACATTAGCAAGCTATTAAAAGCGGGTCAAGATCGGATTAAGCCATTCAAACATCATAAGATGCAGTAACCCTGCCCACGGACCTACACTACGAACTTAACCACAACGCCCACACCATAGTTATAACCACAACTAGTTGTCGACCGCGACACCGTCCGCGCGGAATTAAAAAAAATAGTAGCCAATGTGTTCTTCCAGATTTTGTTCTATATATATGCCAAAGTTTTGCGAAATTCATGCAGCTGTTCCAAGTTATTGAGTTTTAGGTACTTAAGGTTATTCCTGATCGACAAATAAAGTAACTCAGAAGTGTTCAAATGTGTTAAATGATTCATGCTTTTAAAATTACATACATCCAGATTCATACGATTATTGGTTATCAAGATATACGAGTGTATAAATATATTTTAAAGTAAAAAAAAAAGAAAAAAAAATCAAGGAAAATAAACAAAGTACACGCAATATTTTAGAAGAGTCTTAAAATTTGTTTTATAAAGTGGCCAGTAACAATATTATAAACAACGAATTAAAAATAAATGACAAACAACAGTAATGCATATTATAAAGTTGATAAAAGATAAAAATAAAAGTAAACATTATTAAGAAATACGTAAATAGACAAGAGTGGAATTTATTTGTTTATTTGTAATTAACAAACAAGTGAGAAGTGTAATTTTAATAACAAGGTTCCGTAGTTTTTTATTTTAAACTAGCTGTGCTCTTTGTCCGCGTGAAATACTGTATTTAAGCTGCGCGTGACACCGGACAGTACTTGTACATTGCAACATTACTTTTCTTTTTAAATATAAGATTTTTTCTAAGGTAAACATAACCTAAGTTACTACTTATTACATCAGCTACTTGCCAACAAAAGTCCCGTCACAACCGGGCCTGCCAATTCAGAGATTAGCCAGAACAAACAGACAAAAATTGTAAAAAATATTATTTTGATGTGTGTACCGTATTCATTGATTATACATGTAGTAAAAACGGCTATTTCAATATTACAAACAGACACTCCAATTTTTAATATGTATAGATTACACAAGAAATACAAGCAAATCTTCCAACATGTAATATAACTTCGATATACTTCTTATTCTCTTATCATAGTTAAAGTAGTCTTTAACAATGTTTTCTAAATGAAATTCGAATCCTAACACTCCGATTGACCGAGTAGGTCATTTGACCACAAAAACACGATACTGAGAGAGAGCGAACAATACCGTTGTCTTCACTACCATATCTTGTACCACGGAACCCTAGAATCGTGTGCAGAACTAATTTATATCGTAGTATCGTTGTAAATAACATCAAATAAGTTGGACTTTGTTGTGAAGTTAGATGTGTTATTACATTAATGTTTTCTTACGTTATACTTGTAACCATGTGCTGTAGTTTCGTAAAAGCAGTAAGTATATTGCTAGCTATTGACTTTGTCCGCTTTGAGGTAAAAATATTTGATCTCTATTGTGAAGTTATTAAGTATATAGAAAACAAACGATTCTGTTTCTGGGAACTCTTTTTTTTAAGATAATATAGCGCATGAGTTTTTTTTAGATTATATTTGATTTCTATGTTAAATTTCATCTAGATCAGTTAAGCCATTTTATAGTTACCTGGTGAACCAACTAAACTTTCGCATTTATATTAATGGGGTTAGAAAGAAAAATTTTATATTACAATCCAACCAAATATTGTCAAATTGGATCGTAATATCATTAAATCAGTAATCTTGCGGCGAAGGAAGACGTGATGCTGCAAATATCTAAGAAGAAATTCAAAGATATTTGTGAAGTCAACCCGCTAGGTCAGCGTGGTTGACTATAGCATAGTCACCCCTAACTTAGTGTAGGCTCCGAGCTTCTCAGTGGGGACGTATAGTGAGCTGATGATGATGATCTGTAAATCTACTTATTTCTCCTAACTTTTAACAATGTCTTACCATAGATGAAAACAAATATGGTTGGTAATTGAATCCCTTGATCGTAGCATAGCCTCAATCGAATCGTTCGTTAGAAAATTCATAAATACGATGACCGATTTATATTACAATATATTAGTGAGCTAAAGTCAGTGTCCCGTATAACTGAGCCGAGATTTATGATAGCTATAAATAAATCTAATTAGTCAGACATTCTGTCTGTGCATGACAGAGAACGATAGTCCGCGACCTTTCTCCTCTCACTCGCACTTTCTTCAAATCTCTTTTCTACCGTTTTGATATCTTATCTTAAATTACTTATTATTTGTTATGAGAGCGTCGGTGGCTCAGGGGTTTAAGCACTTGACTTGTAATCTGCAGGTCCTATGTTCGAATCCCGCCATGTACCAATGTGTTTTTCGATTTACATATGTACATTTATCCGATGTTCATACGGTGAAGGAAGATATCGTGATACGACCTGCATATATCTGAGAAGAAATTCAAAGATATGTGTGAAGTCAACCAACCCGCACTGGGCCAGCGTGGTTGACTATGGTCTTGCCCCTAACATAGGGTAGGCTCCGATACCCTCGTTGGGAACGTATAGTGAACTGATGATGATGAATTGTTAAGATTTGACTCTTATACGATATGTATTGGCTTTAAAAACATCGGTCCATTAGAAGCATATTGTGAAGTAGCACTTATAAATAAAAATCTTGCTGAAATTTGTCATAGATTTTTTTTTTTAAATTAAAGCTAGTACAGAGTAATTGAATACCTCCGTATATAAACCGGTTATATAAGCTATTTAAGTCAATAGTTATTTTTTAACCTTAATGTTAACCATAGACAACTAGAAAATGTAACCATAACATAAAATTCTAATACATTTTATAGTTTTCCTACATACGTACGTTACAATAATGTCCTACAATATACTAAAAGGCCAACCATTTCTATAATGATAGTAATAACCAGTATAAACGTAGCCGCTTCCTCGAACAATGTTGAATAACATCAAGCTCAAGTGATTGTGGTCATGTTTCTATAATATTACTGCTTTTATAACGTAAAATGAATAATATAAGAAACATGAGACGATAAAAGTAAAGTTGTACAATCCGTCATAATGTAAATTGTCTAATGGTATTAACTATTAGTTTCTATTTTAGATTACCTAAAAACACATATTGTAACTAACTGTCGACCGTAACCGTCCGTGTGGTATTAAAAAAATAATTAGTAGCCTATGTGTTCTGCCAGACTATATGTATGCCAAATTTTAGCGAGATGCATACAGCCGTTCTGGAGATACCTTTAAACATCCATCATAAAGAAACTGTGCAAAAAAGACGGACCACGAAGGACGAAGGGTCTATAGATGTCGTTTGTTCTAATTAAAAAAAACATGTAATATAAACAGGAAAAGTGAGAACTTGATAAGTGAGAAAGCTAGGTAAGCGAGAATCAGTGAAACACTGATTAACGACAAACCTCTATAAGCGAGAAAAATCTCGCTGAAAGACTCTTGTTTATTTAAGTGCGATTATATTATCACTGTTGCAGGATGTCGTTTAGTGTGATACGCAAATTCAAACTTAATTAACTAACCGTGAGTTTCTGAGACCAAAATCCTTGTTTAAAATACATTATCAGCTCTATTTGTCGAAGATAATAGAATTTTTGGTTTCAGTAACCTACGGTGAGACTAGTAGAAAAATTGCTAAAAATTATTATCACTTATTAAAACATCATTTAGCAAAAACCAAATACAAATACCTAAATTTAGTTTGTATTAACATTTTTAACTCTTTTTATCTTTTATAAATTTCATCCGGGACTTAACCTAAATATGTAATTCGATATTAGATTGATAAAAAAAACACATGCCAGAGCAGAGCGCTTTTAGTACAAACAGAAGCCGACTCCGAAGTAAGATACATCCGTTCGACGAACCATTCCTATATCGATGTTTATGTTGGCATATTAGTCATTAACATCGCTTTAAAAGGACTGTTTAAGGTCACCCAGACAGGTCACGTTTTTCTTTATTTTTATCTTACACTAGCTATCGCCCGCGACTCCGTGCGCGCGGCAAAAATATTTAATTAGTAGCCTATGTGTTCTTGCAGACTATGTTCTATATGTATGCCAAATATCTTCGAGAGATGGAGATACCTTCAAACAAACATCCATCCATTCAATCTAAACATTCGCCTTTATACTATTAATAAGAAGTGACATAGTAAGATTCTTTAACACTCTCCTTGTTCAGAACATAATAAAAACTTTATAAAAAAAAATCAGAAACAAATTAAAGAACAGAAATATTATGTCAACTTCCGTTTATTTCTATTTATAAATAGAATTAAATAAATAATGAAATCGAAGAATGAAATGTAACCTAAATAACTACTAAAAGCACTCGTCAAGGTGAACACAACAAAAGCATAGATTTATTTAGATAGACTGAAAATAATCAAAGAATAATTGTGTGCAATCGACTAAGATAACATCAATCAAAGCTATTCAAATCAAAACATTTATAATGCGTTCTCTAATCGAAATGCGCTGTAAAAATGTATAGTCGATTTGAAAAGAGCCAGGCGCACTGGGGATTGGGGATTTAAATAGGTTCTATTCTGGGCGCAGGCACATTCCTCACCGCTGACTGGACTATAAAAGGAATTGTTTTAGATCTGATACTTAGCAGTAATTGGTCAGAGTTATTATGCAATGCTGTTAATTGCAACAAACTGGTGTAGTTTGCAATTAATATAATTGTAATTTTTGTTTTCTTCGCGATACTTTTCAATAGATTTTCATGTTATTTAAAGTTACGAGGATGGAATATTGATTTCGACTGTTAATCTGCAAAGCAATATAGTAAGTTAGTTTTTTTGTATTTATTTCTAGGAGTTATTTTTGCAAGATTTAAGTGATGTTGACTACGCGTCGGACGGCGAAGGCTGGGAACTGATGGACGATCCCGAGAGTTCTACTCTTAAAGGCGGCGTGGTGGTGCCCTCCGCGATCACACGACAAGACGGCAGCTTCAGAGAAGTCGTCATATCTGCTGTCGATCCCGTCGCTGCCACAAACGAACGACCGAGGATTCTTGACGATTGTAAGTATACTACTGCAGTTCACCTTTTACTCCTATAAAAATAATTCAACCTTTTTTGTTATTTCAAGGACGTTTAGTGCTTATTTCCCAAGCGATGTTAATGTATTATTCCCTTTAATTAATTCGAAATGTACTACACCTAATCTGTGGTCAAATCTTTTGTAAAACTTATTCAAATAACAATGAAATGTGTATGTTCGCAGCGAATTTAACGGCGAGCGAGCGCAAGACACTCCGTCTCGCAGCGCTGGAGAATATGCGCAACATGATGCGGACAAGCAAATGCTCGGCGCCGCAGCCGCGCTGGCTGCCCGTGCGACAGCTCGCGCCCGCCGCCGACACCGTGTCAGTATGCACAAAACTCGACAATACACACGCACAACCGTAAAAACCTCAACAGACGGTCTTTGCGTGGGCGTGGTGACAAACATCTCTGTTCCGTGTCGCGTGCTTTATGTAAGGTTTATGTTGCAGTTACATGCCTCCTTGCGTACGCCTGCACCGCTGCGCTCCCGACGCCGGCTGCTGCTACAGCGAGGCTGAGGTCTGCGCGCCCGTCGAGGGGAAATACGTCGCCATACCATTATATGTAAGACTTGACTGAATCATTAACATCATTGATACAGTTTGTAGTCTTAAGTCCCAAACATTCTGATGAATGTCATACGTTCAAGTGTTCCATAGAGTTTAGGACGCGTTGTTTCTATCTTACAGCTCAATAAAGTGGATAGGAACTTAACGATCGCCCGCATGCTGTTCTTCAACCACACTCGATGCGCATGCGTGTCTCGCGACACGCTACGAGGCACGCTGCCCGTGCGCGCAGAACCCCGGCCCGGTGAGGGACAGGAGTGGATCACGGAACGGCCTACGGAGCGTCCGGCGGAGCGCCACCCCGACTGGCGGCCCACTGAGGAACCCCTGCTCGAACGCGACGAAGAGCACACCCCACCGCCGCAGATGAGGAGGTATGCCAAAGTTTCACATAAAGGTACATTCATTTCAAGAGGTACATAATCGTAAATTCAAACTACTTAGGAACTAGTTGTTATGAAAAATATAAAATCGCATCTTTTACACTTATAACTGCTGATTTCCATTAAATTTAAAGTTTTTAAGCAGATGCACGTGCCCGGTGCTGTTCACGGCGCGCGTGTCCGGGGGAGAATGCGCGTGCGTGTGCGAGACGGCAGAGGGCCCGCGGCGGCGCGGCTGCCTCTCGCTGGCGCGCGGCCGCGAGCACTTCGGGCTGCGGGACCGCGTGTGCGTCGCCCACGGAGACTGCGCCCCGCCAGCTTGCGACCATGGCCCGTACGACCGCACGCTCGGAGTCTGCCCGCTCAGAAAGTATCGCAGGATACGCTACAACCGCAAGTTCCACACCGACAAGACAGCCCTCTGAATGCCACGTACTCCGATTAGGGTAAATTAGAACGTGTCTTGTCTTTTTCGGAAGATAAATTGGAGAAACTTTAATTAAAACTAAAATTGACCACGGTTGCAGGATATGATTAATTATACAAAATCATAAACCTTTTACACGATATTAACGAAAAATTCGAAATAAAGAACTGAATCATTATTATAAAGACGTTTCCGAACGAGATCGAATATATTTGAGTCCGATAGAGGGCGTTACTGAACAGATGATCAAATGAATGATAATTTAAGATTTAGTTTTGGCAATTATTTCCTCTGCTAACATTTCCTTACTTCAAATGAAAAATATTGTGCCATATTATATAAAATATTTTAGTTTTTACTGCAAATGAAGGAAAATTACTACTTGTGATAGTTTTACAAACTGTGAATTTTTTTTAATTTTCCATTAACAATATTCTCGGAAGTTATTTATGTTATTTTTTATGTACTACATTAATAAAGTAAATGGAAATTATTATCGATATTGAAGGATTTTCTTCCTTATTTTTCCTACTGAATAACATTTTAGATTAATATGTTTGTAGGTGAATAACAGTATTGTTACAACTGTCTAATCGTTGGTTTCAGAGACTAAAATCTCTGTATAAAACATATCGTCATCTCTGTCATTGTCTTAAACAAAATATAGATAGGATTATGTTTTATTCAGGATGTTCTCAGAAACCAACGATACGACTGGTTTTAAAAATGTAAATGTGTCTTTCTTACCGTAGAAGTCAACTGCAGTGAAATAGTATATATATTGTCATCTCTTTCACTCCCATGAATAAAATAGAGATGCCAATATTTATTAACATGCAGTCAGACAAGGTTATCTGGCACGATGAGGGGCGCTGCTATCGCGGTTAGTTTATGAAAAAAATGTGACAGCTGGAGCACGAAAAGAATCTTGTGACTTTGACACTGACAGAATGGCGCTAGTTGCTGTCATAAATTAGTTTAACTTGTGTCCACCGGGAGAGATATCCTTGTCGGACTATACATGTATTGCAGAAGAGACAATTATCTTTTGTTTAAGATGTCTTGAAATAATTTTCACGAGCCTAATATAAATGTGCTAAGAGATATTATTGTAACTTTGTAACTGTACATTGCATAATAATTATATAAGTTCGATTCTGTATAAGTATATAAGTTAGACTTAAGTTGTAAATAAATTATATTTAAGAGTTGTTTACTTTTTATTTCAATTATATCGTCTGTCTGTCGGTTTCGCTGGGATTGGGTTCAGATGGCAGGTTCAATGAAAAATAAAATTTCTTTTATTAATCTATTTAATAACAGCTTAATACAAACATAAGAATAAGAATCAAATCAAACTTAATGCAAGGGGGGTTTAGGCGTAGTGGAGGGAGGAGTTATGTGGCGAGAGTGCAGAGCAGTGCGGCGCCGCGCTTCACCCAGAAGTCCGGATGTTCGCGGCCCGAGGCCAGCTCCACTGCCACCACGAACGCGCCCTTGCGCAGCGGGTAGTAGTAGCAAGGACATGTGTAGCGATCTGTGTACAGCCAGACTCAGATAATATGCGTTAACTTGAGCCATATTGTCAGGGCATAGATATCAAATTTAATATTTATGGCCAGTAAAGCAGATTTGTAAGATAATGTCAAGATTGTACGTACTCTTAGGCCTCCTGCCTGTGGCTCTGACGGGTTTGAAATGTATGGGCGGCATAGGGAAGACCAGCTGCATGGGCAGCGGGTCCTGCAAGTGCGCGTCCTTCTTGAACCAGCTCGCGCCCTCCAAGAACAGGCCCCTTGATGTCATCGCATATATTACAACCAAATCATGCTAATCAGAGGTTAGAGCTTCACCAAATTCAACAAATTTAGGTAACAAAGATACTAAATATTGCAACGTTGTTTGGTGAAGTCGACGTTTCCAATATCAGCAAAATTGCTTGTGGAGGACGAGGTTTAAGTTAAATCATTGCGTAAAAACGCACCTGATGTAGACGCCACCATCTCTGGGCGCGCGCATGATGTTCTGCTCCTCAATAGTGAGAACGGTAAAGTCCCAGCACAGCGTGTCAATGGGCCAGCCCTCGCCGCGCGCCGTCGTCTAGCGAAAATGTACTTTTTGAACCGTAACCTTTAGGCACGTTTGTATATTGCTATGAACCGCTCCGTGTACCTGCATGACGGCTGTGAGGAAGCCGGTGGGCGCGAGCAGGGCGGGCAGCCAGCAGAGCGGCGGCGGGGAGCGCGGTGCGGACGCCCACGCGCCCAGCCGGTCCCCGCGCGCCCACAGCTCGCGGCACCACGACCCCAGCGGCTTCAGTGTCGGACGTCCTGTCACCGATGTCTCACTCACACAAACACCTCGAACACCGAGGATCAAAGACAAAATGATCAAAACGGGTCCTACCTTTTTGCCAGAAAATTGGTACTTTTCCTTCGAAGATACATCTGTACATGGTCTCCAGTATCTCGGACATCACCACCAGACCTTCTATCGCTCGCCGCAGCTCCTTCATATTACGACAGACACATATTTACACAAAAACCCGATGACGATAAAAAATAAATCAGAATGACTTCAGAGTTATTATACAATTATATTCCCGACGTATGATTTGGCACGTCGAAAACAAGAGTACTCCTTCGTTCGACGTGCCAACTCGAGACCACGGTATACCTTTAGTCCTGTGACGATGTAGTTGATGAGCACGTTGTAGTATCCGATCTCCTGCAGCAGCGAGACGCACATGGGCATCACGATCTCGGGGCCCATCAGCTTCTCCGTCGTCTCCATGTCTATCTTGCCCGGCAGCCGCACCAGCATCTCCGCCGCCAGCTCGTCCACCTGCACACAGACAACATGTAACACACACGCACATGTCCTTATGTAGTGTACTTGCCGAGTATTATTAAAGGAAAAAGCGTTAACGTTTACCTTCTGATCCTCCCCGCCCGCTGCACCTCCACTGCCCGAAGCCGTCAACAAGAACAAAGTGGAACACATGATCGAAGCATCCTGCAAATGTGAATATCGTAATGAACTAATGTCTTGATAAAAGTTAATGGTAAGTTAGGTTTAAGTTAGGAATGTAGGTGACCTGAGCGAGTGCGGCCACGTCAGCCGAGCTGTGCTGACCCAGCGAGTCAGCGCGCTCCGCCGCCGGCAGCAGCTCCAGGAAGTCGCGGTAGGACTCCAGGCTGCCATCGCGCGGCACGTGGTACGCCGGCATACTCGACAACCTTCCACAATTTTACACTATCTCAAACACTGCAGCTATTATGAAGGAAAATAGATATGAGTTTAAATCGCGACTCAATAGAACTTTGCAGTAGACACTGAGAAGAGCAGTGTTTAATATGCAGCCGCTTGATGTTTTGCCGATGGTTACCTGTAAAAAGGTATATCGTGGGCCTCCTCGCAGAAGAACTGGTTGATGTAAGCGAGCAGCACGCGCTTGTCCCAGTCGTCTGTGATGTGTCCACCGTAGTTGATGACGGCCAGCAGGTAGCGCAGTGCAGCCCACGGCACCTCGTCGTACTCCTCCAGGTAATTTGCCAACAAGTTGTCTGAAACCTATCCCGAAACTGCATATTAAAGAAGTGCTTTGCTAATATCCCTGAACTTAAATAGCAGTCTGATGCGAAAAAACTACACGTTACTTCAGAAGCCTCCTCGTAAATACCAAAGAACCAAACCTAGAAAGTACCAAAACTCTTCGAATATCCAAAAGGAAAAAATCTGTGATAACTTACTTCAAAGTCGGCATCGTTGAAGCTGTAGACATCGTTATATCCGAGCTGACGAAAGCGCTTCCTGGCGATGAGGGTACAGTGGAAGAAGGCGACGCAGAACAGCAGCTTGCGGTACTTCGGCGTCGCCTCGTCGAACTTGTCTTCGTTCAGATTTGCAAAGATACGCACCAGGTTGCCCTTCAGACCCTACAAAATACATAATGAAAATTAATGGATTAAGTAACAAACAAACAAATACATGAACAAAAGGAATTTTGGTCAAGTAAGTTACCTGCGGCGGTTCCGTGGTCATCTTGATGCTCCTTTGCAGCATGCCGAGCGGGAACTTGGGGTCGGGCATGGAGGAGAGCCAGAGCCGGAAGCGGTGATGTATGGTAGGGTTGTCCAGGCCGCGCAGCGAGCCCAGCCACTCGCACGCCAGGTGACAGTTCGCCAGGAACACCCAGCCGCCTTCCTCCATGCCTTGCGCCAACATCCTGACAGTGAATAGTTTACTTACTATTGTTGACGAAGTCATTAGTGCACCAGCCAAGCTTTAAAAGTGACGTGTTACCTTTCAGCGGCGGGCGCCTGGCCTTGCCCGAGGCTTAGCGACTGGAACTTGTCAAACATCTTGACGTCCATGGCGAGCTGGATGAGCGAGGAGGTGGGGTCCACGCCTGGCGACAGCACGAACAGCAGAGACGTCTTCCACGAGGACTCCTCCCACGCCGCCTTGTGCAGACAAGAGTACATTTAAAACCATGACCGTAATCTATCATAGGAACCTAATTTGTAAGCAAAATTATAGATAATTTAAAATTTATTGACTTTAGGTTCTTAACTTGGTACTTAAATATATCTGTATACCCGAATATCGAGGACCGGAGGCTCGATGTACCGGGGTCCGAGCGCGCGCAGCACGAAGGCGGCCGCGCACGCGCCCACGCGGTCTGCACGCAGCGCGCGCACCACCAACATGCGCTGGAACTCGCTGCACACCTCGTTCCACTCACCTGGTCATCCACACTCGATATAAATGTCAATTGCTCACCAGGGGGAGCGACCAAAAGACCAGAAGTGAAGGAAATAACGTTATATATAGTCTTCTGAACGTTGTCATAACCAGATAATGTTATAAGTGTATGAAGTTTGAATGGTCTTCACCGATGAGGGGCTGCGACTCGGGCTCCGGCGTAAGGTACCAGTCGCGCCACTCCTTCGACATGGTCTCGAAGCTGTCGATAATGCCGTGGAAGCCGGCGATCTTGTCCAGCTCCGTTATGTTATCCCAGCACTCGTCCGGGATCCAGTCTAAAATAATTCGCTGTCTAAAGAAAATTCTACTTTACAACAGACTTACAAAAAAATGGCAGCTGTAAGGACTTGTTTTAATGATGTAATTGCATTATGTATAAAACTGACTGGTGGGATTGTCTGGCTGCTCGGAGCGGTCGAGCACGATGCCGCCCTTCAGCAGGTAGAGGTACTCGTTCATGTTGAGCTTGCCCGCCTGGAAGAGGATGCGCGACGCCATGTGGAACGACAGCAGCAGCTTGTGCCGCTCGAACAGCGCGCGGCACGTGTTCCTGCATAATGAACACCAGGACATAGAATACTTTAGAAGTAATCTAGTTGCAGTTGAATAAACCAGAATGACATACAGGAGGATGACATGAAGAATGTAGTGAAAAACACAGAATATTACCTTCACAAACAAACTAGTACCAGTTTTATAGAAAGATTGAAGAAGATGGCCAAGCGTATGGAAGTGAAAACCTGACTGAAGCTTACTTATAGACAGCATATGTGTGGAACTCGTTAAGGTAGTTGATGCGGTCCTCCAGCTCGCTGGACTTCTGGCTGCGGTCGATGGAGTACATGAAGAGGTCGGTGTACGCGTCCAGAGAGAACTGGTACATCGGGTCGATGCGCGACAGGTCGTTGAGCGCGAAGAACAACACAGACGCCCGCACCGCCACCGGCACGTAGCCCTGACATTCACAACATTACTTACTAACTGCCGCCTTATGATAACTCACGTCGACAGATATCTAGAAGGGACTCTTATGGATGGTTAAGTGTATTGATTTCATGGTTATTAATTTTAAAAGTTGGTATCGTGTGATGTTACCTCTCTTGCAGCGTCGATCTCCTTCTCTGTGACTTGCGAGGTGATGAGCGCCTCCTTGACCTGCAGCGAGGTGCGCTGCGAGATCTGCAGCGTCTGGAACAGCTCCTCGTTCTCCAATAGCGGCACCTGCGACTCGTACATGATGCGTAGCAGGTCGTTTTCCAGGTCCACCTGTAGATACGATGCTGTGACCTCATACTCATCATATAAGCTCAAATTATTGAAAGTTCCGTTCTTCTTCCGAAAAATCCATCACCGCTACTGCTGGTATATGTTCGAGGTAATCACCAAGACTTTCTTGTCCCTGGCGATGGACAGCACAAGCGTGTCCTTCATCTGCTCGAGCTGCGGCCGCTCCTTGCGCACCACGATGCCCAGTAACTGCGACGTCAGTCCTTGCTCCTTCACCGCGAAGTTCACCATCGTCGTCTTAGTCAGGATCTCCGGCGTGTAGATGGGGTTGCCTTTACAATATAAATTTATAGACACCGTACTAAGTCATTGTATTTATTTTTTAAAGAAAAGTACGATACGCAGTAACGATTAAAACGACGATCGAATTGGAATATGTATTAGTTCTGTCGACACAAAGTAAGTAAAAAAAACTGGGAGTTCGTGATTATGAATTGTCAACAAAAATAACCTAATTTGGTGGTAAGGTATAGCTGGAAGTTTGAGTTGTAGGGCACCATCTTCTCATTGAACTTTATCACCAACGAGGTCCCGATCTTTACGATGGCTTTGTCCAGGATAGGCGCGATAGAGGGGTCCAAGACCTCCCCCACGTTTTGAATCAGGATAGGTATGCCCTCCGACAAGCACTTCTCCATCACCTTAAGATAGTTTGGTTGGCCGAAATCGACTACCTGTTTGGAAAGTTTTGAATGTATTTTAGTGCACAAACTTGTTTGTCAGTACACTCCAATGTATTACCACAATTTTCTTACAATACTTACTTCGATTCCATTACTTTCCTCGAGCTTAGATATCCAGATGAGAGCTTGTCCTTGAGGGTCTACGGCCAGTGGCCAGCGTGTCGCTCGACGTACTATGATACCATTCTCAGCACTGAAGTTGTCATCTACCTCGAGCAAAACATTCAAAGAGTCAAGAAAAATATCCCATCAGCAAGTAAAAGGCCCTCTCTTCTTTAATTACTGACTGACCTGGTAATCCCATATAGTTCCAGTCTCTCAGCGTAGCATCGTCTAGAAGAAAATTTTTCATGCTGAGATCCATTGTAACTGGTACGGCTTCATTATATACCTGCCAAGGAAAACATTTTAAATCCGAATGCTGAGTCAAAACCATCGTGATGATGGTACAGAATCTAATGGCTTACCTCACGGAACCAGTCATCCATGAGCTCCTCGCGGTACTCTGAGACGAAGGGTCCGAGGTAGGCGACGAAGGCGGTGGCGATGAGGCAGTCGCCTGGCAAGTTGTCAAATTCCTTGTCCAGCCGCTCTACAGTCATCTCCCAGCGCTCACGTTCACCTACACAACTTTAAATTGGATATAGGAACAACATAATCTAAGTCTTTGAGCTCCAGGTATGTTCGAGCTGCTTTAAAAACCATAATTGTTACAGTATTCTTCTTCAACTCTTGTGTGATGCTTAATTTACCCGACAGTCCAGTGATGAGCGCCTCCGCCCTCTCGAGTTTAAGCTGCAACATCCTGGACTTCCTTTCGAGCTCCTCCTTTTGTGCAAGTTTCTCGTCGTACTCCTTCTGCAGGCGCGCGATCATCTCACTCAACTCGCGCAGCTTGGCCCGCGCCTCCGCCAGGATCTGCTGCTTCATGCGCAGCGACTCCAGCGCTTCTTCTAGACGCTCCTTCTTTGGTTTTACTATTCTATTATTAATTAAAATCATTAGATACATTGAGGATTGAACAAAAGTTGGGCTTTTGGCAGACGGATCTTTAAACCTTTCTAAAATTGAAATCAGTAAAATCACTGAAAATATTATGTTCAATAACTTAATCCATAAGGACTATAAATGCTACCAAGTAGAAAATATAGTTAAAGGAGTGTGCGACTTACTTGTAGACCTTGCCGTACTTCTCGATGGCGCGCACCCAGAGGCAGAGCGACTTGGCGGCGAGAGATACAGTGCCTACAATCTCCGGCTCGAAGTCCGGTTTGGCGGTGTACGTGCCGATCTTCTTCAGCGTCTTGTCAGAGATGTTGTCCTTGTCAAAGTCCCGCAGCCGGTCTAGGAAGTATTGATCACCCAGCTGACGCTTCGCCTCGGCCCAAGTCGGCTCTTTCTGTTGAACGAACACCAAAGTAAGTTGACACGTGATCGGAAATGTAACTACATACTTGTTTTGGTGTGCATGTATTTATTTACAAATTAAAGAAGTAACCTGTAACAATATGAGAACCGCTTCCATGACCATCTCTACTTTCTGCGGCGGCTTAGCGTACGACTTGACTTCTGTAATATCTTTCTTGTTGAGCGCGTCTAGAGCCTGGGAGAAAGAATTTAAACAGTAATAAACAAGACTGGTCCAAGCACACAAGATAGAAAACACAAAAGTGTTTATGCACTATAAAATGTATACCTTAACGGCCTCCTCCAGAGCGGGCATGGCGCTGGCGAGGTCCCGCATGGCGGCGTCCGCCAGCCGCTTGCACTGGACCTCCTCCTCTTGCGTCTTCTTGCTGCGAGCTGCCACGCTGCGCTGCTGCTCGTCCGCGTTGCGCTGCTGCGCGTTGATCACGCCCATGTACTCCACGCACTGATCCGTGTACTCCGCCACTTGCACCTGACGTACATATGTACATTTACAGAAACTGTCAAACGAGAAAGGTGCGCCTGTGCAAGTGATGACATTCTATAAAAGTACCTTAGCCACCGCCAACTCCTCAGACATCTGCCCCACCAGTTTAGTGGTCTCCTCCACTTTCCCCAAGCCGTTCCTCAACTTGTTGGCTTGGAGTGCAACCTCCGCGCGTTTATTCTTTAGCATTCTGAAGTTGAATTTGAACAAAATTATTCTTGCTGATATAGTATTGCTATAAATCTGAGATGAACCCTAGCAACAGCAGAAGATGGGTCAATTGGTATATTTAGGTACGAGTTGCACTCACTCCTTATACCCGGAGACCAGCTCGAGGTAGTTGGTGGGTGTGACATGGTTGACGCGACGCATCTCGTTCCACATGCGCACGGAGTGCCTGCCCACCGAGGAGTGCACCAGCGACATGATGGACGCCACTGACGCGCGCAGGATCTCCTCGCGGCTCTCCACCACAGACTCTTTGCGTCTCACCTGCGTCACATGTCATAAATACATCACATTAAGAAAGGTTGAAATATCTTGTTGGGACTCACAAAGCTGAAAAAATCTGACTTAAAACCAATCGTGGATCTTGAATTTTTCTTTTGCGTAGAAAGACTTTCGGACTTGAGACCTTTTGCAAGGAGAGCTGAAGGTCGATTTAACTAAATCTCTCGTACCCTCTGCCCAGTGATGGAGGCGAGCAGCTCGACACCTGCGAGGAACTTGTATGCGACCTCGAGCAGCGCCTCTCGCGGCCACTCCAGGAACCAGTTGGTGGTGGTCGCGTTGATCAGTGCAGGATACTGCCGGATGCGGTTCCTGCAAACCGCCCATCGTAACATAAACGAGATAAAAATTTGAACAAAGTGACCGTTACTAAGTTATATTATTTCTGCTCAGTCTCACTGTTCTGCCCTCGAATGTATCTTATTCTGACCTAAACTCCTCTCCAATAGGACTGAAGCAGAGCACGATGCGCAGGTTGGTGCGCACACGATCCACCAGGAACAGGTACACGGACTCCGCGGTCTGCATTATGTTGGCGTGTTTCATCGCCTTCTCTAGCGCTTGCTTTATCTGTAATTATAACAACCAGTTTATTAAGACCTCTAAAGTTTACGATACCAAACGATGGTGAACTTTGTATTTTAAACTGACGATCTTTAATACGTGTGTTTATTTAGTAGTTCACTGACAGGGTATGTTTTAATAAATTGACTCAATCATAACCTGATTAAGTTCAAAGTTAAACTGTTAGACGGTAATAATGTATTTGCTACTGACGTCTTCAAACTCATCGGGTTTGTACAAGTTGGTGATCTCTCCGCTGCTGAGCAGATTGTTCATGATCTCAGTGAAGCTCTCCTCCACTATCTGCGTGTCGTTAAAGATGAACGTCGTCTGCTTCGCGTCAACACCACAGCTCGTGTATAAAGTCTGGAAAAGCAACATTTGTAGATAGCCATTTGATGTTGCATGTTGAGGATTTGCAGCAAATTACCAAGTTACTGATATATTCAAATAAAATTTATTTCACCTTAACTTTACAAAATTTAGCTAATTACCTTCAGATCCTCACGGAAGTCCTTGACCCCGTAGGTCTTGGTGACGACGACTTGGAACGAGTTGGACTCGCAGATATAAGACGCCAAGCGAGTCAAACTCTGACGACCAGATCCACCTAAAATAAACATCTCAGTAATTTACCTAATCTTGCACGCAAATATTATATTGTGTCGTTTTTGAAGTATCATTGGCATTGGGGGAGTTTCGTCTTAGGTGCTTCGCAACAAACAGGTGCGAGACAACTTATTGACAAGTCACAGTTATGTATTTGACAGTAAAATTGATAGAATGACAGTAGCAGTGTCAGACTGACCGATGCCGACGCAGAGCATGTTGCCGCGGGGCTGCGAGATGACTCGCGTGATGCGGCACACGTGCTCTATGGCGTCCTTGAACAACACCAGATCCATCTTTACCACCCCCGGGCTGCTGTTGTACTCCTCCAGCTGGTTGGCAATGTACCTGATCACAAACAGAAGAGGATCAGACCATGGTGTCGCTATTTTTGCCAATAGGAATAAAAGAAAGACTTACTTCCTCAAAATCTCTGGGTCATTCATGTCGTCATACACTTCGAAGGGATTGAGGAAATGTCCAAACAGAGGAGGACTCTTGGTGGGGCAGACGGCGTGGAAGGTCAGCTCGAAATGTTTACCCAACATTTCTGCTACCTGATTCATAAACCAATCGCGATCTCTGAAAAAAATAAATTTAAAGTTTCTCAACAGACTTGTATAATAGACAGACAGACAGATTTGTAGATCATTTATATAAAAAAAAGTCAAATAGCAAAAAAACGCACTTTTCCTCGGTCAGTCGGTCACCGAACACTCGGAAACACTCGTGTATCCATAAACGTAAGAAACGTGGCTTCGTGTTCGTGTAATCTTTATTACTTCGCAGGAGTCCCTGAAAAGCAAGGAACTTTCTATTACAAGATCTGTAAAATACAAGCAAATGAGTGATCAGTAAGTGATCAATATGTAGGCACCTGGAATATTTTAGAGATGTCGCGCAAGTTGAAGAGATAGTGCATCTTGCTGGGTGTCGGCAGCAGCTTGGCCACTATGTTGTTGAACATGTCGATCGTCGCCACCAGAACTATCTTACCTATTACCAACACATAAATGAAGTTAATTAACCATACAAAAGAATACAAGTGCTTAAAACAGAAAATTCGTCTTGCGTAATATCGATCTAGGTCGATTTAGTTTTATTTTTACTGATGATATTTTAGCACCGTACCAACTGTCTTGGTCTCCTCATCAAACTCCATGAGGTGCTGCGCCAACATTGTGCCGAAGATCTTGATGAGCTGCTGGTGTGTGGGTGAGGGCAGGAAGAACGCGTGGAAGCAGGACAGCAATCGCGGCGGTAGGTGACTGCGAGCACCGCCAGGTGGGCCCGCCGCGCCGCACAGCACCATGTCCTAGAGACGTCGCGTCTATGGTATAACCCCTCCTCCGTCTCTAAATCTTTGTTCCTCTTTCCTCGGTGTCGTAAAATAATCAACGATAGGGGAAATCCACCTTAACATTCTTCCTCCACTGCTTGTGCCTATCGAACCAGTAGCCGTAGTCGAGCCAGAGGCGCACCAGCTCGAGCGGTGGCTGCGACCCGTAGTCATCCTTCACCGGCATGTTGATGTCGTCCATGAATGCTATCATTTTCTTACCTGCAAACATCAATAACTTGGACTTCTAACAAACTTTAAATCTTAAAGGTACTCCTAAGCCTGAAAGAGGTAGATACAATTAGCATCTAAAAATACGTTTTGCCTTTACATACCTCCCGCCGGTACATAATTTCCCTTGGTCCTCTTCTCCAGTCGCGCTTCGATCATGTCCTGGACATTGGCCGCGGTGGTCTGAGCAGACATGTTGATAACTTGGCTGCTGTACCTGCACCAAGAAATACAAACAATACACGGCATTTACAAAAACTGCAACACGAAAAAGAATACCAGAGATGTCAATGTGAATCAGTTTTTTGCATATTAAACAAACTTACTTTTCTGGATCCAGTTGCGAAAGTGTGCCTTGTATGAGGTATGTCTTGCCAGTGCCCGTCGGTCCCGCGACCAGCACACCGTGACCTCCCTTTAGCAGTTCCAACGATATAATCTGCACCCGGATAAACTCTACTGTCGGGACCAAGATGGAGTGGAAGCCTAAGCTAAAGTACACACAAATGTTTTAAGTACCTCTGCTATTATATTTCTAATACAATAACCTTTAAGAAAAATAATTACGCGGGATTGAATCGCCAATTATCCGGTAATCGATCTTCCCACGGTCGGAACTGTCGCAGTCTCTCGTCCAGATAGTAATCGTAGACGGTGTCCTTCAGGGGGAAGACGCCCTCGTGCTCTCGGATCCAGTTGTCCAAGCGGCGCCGTGCATCCTCGTCCAGGGTCGCACACACAGACCAGATCAACCTGACAATTAAACAGGACTCAATATTTCAATATCGAATATTTTAAAGGCAAAAAACTATACAGAAAAATATACAAAAATAGTGAGAGATTAAGAGTTAGTGTCAAAACTAAATCTGTTATATTGTAAAGCGTACGCGAAGAGGAATCTCATCTTGGCGAATGTATCGTCGTCCTCGTCGGTTGGGTGAGGTGGCGGTGGCGTGCGCGCCAGCAGGCGGCACAGCGCGCGCACGCCGCTCAGCTCGTGCCCGCGCAGACCCTCGCCCAGCGCGCGCTTCAGCGCCAGCACCGGGCTCAGGATGTTTTGGAAGTGACGACGCAACTGACCAATACAACATTCGGATAAACAATCAGATCAAACTGTACACTATGTTCGTCGTTTGATCATTGAACACCTATAAACACTTTTACTAATACCATATCTCTGTAGTCTAAGTCGTCGACGGTGTCCAGCCAGGAGTTAACGTATGGTCCCCAGCCCCAGTCGCGGTAGTCGTTGTACACCATGCCGTTGCGCGACACCGTGGCTGGCGACGCCACCGACAAGTCCAGCGTCTCGATAAGCAGCGACACCTGACGGCCAATAACACTAAACCTGTGCCTTGTGAATCCATTCTTTCTTATTTTAATGAAACGGGACTTGTTTATAAAATCTACAAAGACTTATTAGAACTTGTGTAGTGGTGCAAGCTGTGTACCTGCGGCGGCATAGATATTCTCTCACTGTTGACGAGAGTCAGCAGCTTGTTGTCATCCATCACAGAGTTAAGGTTCTCTATCCAGATCGCGTCCACCGGCCCATCGAACACGATCCACTTCTGCTCCGGGGACTCGTCTGGCGATAACAATCTCACTAAACATGCCATACTGGTCCCCAACAATAGGCAATATTTACGGCCCTCATTCCTTTTCGAATTTTACATTATAAATGTTCCAATTTTTAAAAGAAGTTTGCAAACATCAAGTAACCACTATCAAGAAACTTATTTTCTATAGATTCTGAAGAAATGCACTAAAGGATTTGACTGGATGCAATGATGGGTACCTTGACAGACGGTGCGCATGATGGCGGATAGTACGCCATCCTTCCATTCGCCAGTGGCGAGGTTGTACTCGCCATAGAGCTCGCCCAGGGTAAGCGCCTTGGGGTTCATGGGATACACCTGCACGATTTCGAAGCCCGGCATACCCTCGCGCTTCAGCCGCGTCATCGTCGCCGCCAGCATTTTCCACGACACAGACTTGGCGGTGTTCGTGTCGCCCAGCAGGATGCTCGAGTGACGAGAATTCTGCAAAAATACCGCGTGTGTCCAAGGTACCCAAGCCCAGGTACCACCTGCCATCCGCAACTTGTAAGACTAAGAGGATTTGCGGTGGCATACAATAAAAAAAAAGCTAGAAAGAAGGTATGAAAAGGAGATGAAGAATTATTTCTACTTCAGGCTAAATTTCTTTGAAGTTATCTTTCCTTTCTTTTTGTTCATTGTGGTCTTAAACATTTTTCTTTGAGAATTTTTGGCAGAGGTACCGACTTACCTTAGTTTCAAATGTCTGGATAACCTTCAAAAGCGCGGCCTTGACTGGCTGCAGTCCAATGAGCCTCATCTCCGCAGATATGGCGGCCTCCAGCATCTCGTAGTCTAGTGTAGGAACCTCCACGTCGGGGAAGATGTCCTGCATGATGCCGTTGAACAACGGCACGTCCTTAGCCGTCAGACGGGCCACGTTCATGTCTCGCATCGCTAGGATTACTATCTAAGGGAAAACATATACCTTTCAGACAAGTCGGGGGTCTTTCTTCACCGTGAGTGTTTACTGGTTTGAATTTACAGTCCCAACATATTACTATGATCTAAGTGGAGATGTAAAGCATACCTCCTGCTCTGGCAGGTTAGAATATGCCCTGCGCTTGACTCCGGCGTAGCGCAGTAACGCCACCATGGAGCGCAGACCGAAGTCGTAGTGGTCCTGCTTCGACAACTGCTGCATCGCCAGCTGGTACAATGTGAACACCTATGCATATACAACGAAAATGCTAATATATCTGAATATTATGTCTCCGGCAGCGGTCAAAAGGTCATAGTTAACCTTTGCTGCAACACACATAATAAACGACAATTCCAACATAGGAACATTATTTTATTAGTATGGCTAGGTGGTGCTTAGTTCCTACAGTTCACCTTCTTCGCGTTAATCTTATAGGCGGTGAATCCGTCAGAGAAGAGCGTGTTCTCGGCGATGATGAGTGAGTCCGGAACGCACATCGCTATCGGACGGAACATCGATTTCAAGTTGTCTGGTAGCTCCGTACGTCCCGCGTAACTGAGAACATAGAATCAAAATAGTCGTTTCTTTCTAATTGTAAATTGTCTAGTTTAAGTGCTAGAGAATAGAATACGGAGTATCGTACCCCGGGTTCATAGTAATGAATATGCCACAGTTCGCATCGAGTTTTAGATCGAAGCCCTCGAAGAGGAACCGCTTCTGTTGCAGCGAGAGTGCCTGCAGCACTGCCAGGATCTGCTGAGCCACCACTGACAATACTTCGATGTTGATCCTGTTGAACTCGTCAAAGCAACCCCAACAACCGCTCTGCGCTATGCCTGGTACAAAGGTATACATATGAAAGGTTAACGAACGTCCTGTGCAACTCTAGGCATTCATTTGTTTGAAAAGGTAGTTTCTTTTGCAAATATTCTTTGCGTACCAAATATTAATCGAACAGCTTGGTAAGAATCAAAGGAATTGCTAATATAAAATGGTTGGCTTTATACAATCATACCAGCGAAGCACTTTGCCATGGACTTGTAGTCGAGACCGTCGGAACAGTTGGTGACAACGACCCAGCGGGCCAGCGCGCGACCCAGATCTTTGGTGGTCTCCGTCTTGCCGGTACCGGCCGGGCCCTGAGGGCTACCGCCACGATACAAGTGGAGAGCCGTCGTCAGCGTTATGTAGCATCTAGCACACAAATATATGAGGTTTGATTGCACCATAATTGGGATAGATCAGAGTCCTTCGGTGGCAACGTATTAAGCTGACAAGTATACAAACAACCAGTAATTAAAGGCATGGCAGCTTTCAGTGCAAAAATACACTAATTCTAAAATTCACGTAGTTTGTTGTTTTTGTAAGTCAAAGTGGTAAGGATTTTATAGGGAAAGGAGTTCGATTGGAAGGCAATTGGGGACAGAATTCTATATCAAAACATTGGTATTTCATAACAAAGACATTCATTTATTAAAACCAATCTACAAAACATATGAACGAACATTTATATCTACAGTGGTATCAGTCTCACAGAAGTAAAGGTGAATAAATAAGTAAATTAATCACCTATCAGTGAGAGGTGTTATAACAAGACGTCCAGAGTTGCCAATATACTCGTAAGTGTAGATGAAGCTGGTGTTTGTTTGCCGTATGTAGCAATCCTCGCGCTCTCGATCCCAGTAGAACTTCAGCTGGGAGAACCACTCGAATGCAGTCACAGACATACAACCTGGGAAAATATAGCTGGGCTGCTGGATCTGACTGACTTTACATTTATGATACGCTGGCGAATACACCTCCCTAGTTAAATTAGTTTAGCCGTTACAAATCAAAGACTTGCTAGACAAATAGATTATATCTTTAACTCTAATTTACATACCCATTTTGTACAATTTATCAACACAATCTCTCGAATGTATCTCAATAACGCACAATGCGTTGACTTTACAGCGCAATATCTTTGAGATCTCCTTCCTCGACATGTTCTGCAGCGTCGTCAGGATCAGGTTCTGCTTCTTCCTCAACTTCTTCATTGGTTTCTTCTCCTTCATTATCTCGCAGCGGCAAAGAGTCCGAGTGCAGTCCGAGGTCCATTGAATCTTTACAAACATATACGTAAACTAAATTCCGCAAAAGTTGTTAAGTGGTCACATAGATCCTATAGTAAGGGTTTCAAGTTTCAACTAAACAATTCTGATGACGTCAGGAAGTCTGTTAGTAACACACAAAACTTTAAAGCCCTGATTTAACACATGCAATTCCACTAATATTTTTATGTATTCAAGTGAACTCGCACGACAAGTCATTGGCACTAAACTACAAACCTTTGTTAAAACTAACCTTGCTGCAAGTGATGCCAAGTTGTCCTGGCCAGTCGTTGATCCACTGCTCTCTCTGGTAGCGACACTTTCTTAATGCCAAGCGAGTTTGAATTAATTGCTGTAGGATAACCAAATTGTGAGTCGGGAGACCGTTTGATTGGAAACGGAAGTCAAGAAGATCTACTATTGAAAATTACTAAAGCTAGAAAATATGTAATCCATACAAACCTAGCTATTTGAACTTCTCTTTTAAGAATTTTTCCTTGTACCTTACACTATTTACCGTAAGTTTCTGAGAGCAAGACATATGTTTAAAACATGTTGTTATCTCGGTTTTGTCAAAGATAATGACTGGGATGACAATACAGAGATGTTGGTCTCAGAAACCCAGGATAACTAACACAATACAGTTAAGATAAGACTTTATTTCTTTACCATCTCACCTCTCTTAAAACTACCCTCATCATATGTTCCAAGCCTAACAGCCACATCTCAGCGGGACCATCCAGCAGCACACTGTGCTTCCACTCTATTGTCTCACCATCCTCGGATATCATGGCTTTAGCTATTGGCAGACCAACGGCATTCTAAAATTATATCTTTGAAATCAGTGTATGAAATCTTACATTTAAGATTTAAAAGCAAAGTTATATAATATAATGTTATAATATTATAAAAACAAATGTTTAGATGGATGGATGGATGGACGTTTGAATCTCCAGAACAGCTGAACAGATCTCAATGAAATATGGCATAAATTAGAACATAATCTGGAAGAACTCATAGGCAGTTGTTTTTTTAATTATGTGTGAGTTGCGGAAACTGCTAGTAGGGTATAAAATAAAAGACATTTCTCAAAAAATATCTTAATTTATTTTTCTTATATTTATTTTATTTTAAATTAACATAATATTCCACAAACCAAAGTGAATAAAAACTATAATAAATACTAGTTTAATATGTATAAATATTTATTAACAAATAAAAAATTGTACCAAGAAATTCCTCTTGTTTCTTACATACATAACAAAACAGTAATACCAACTTAAATAACTAACTTCTTCCATGAAGCTTCTCTGTCAAAGATAATAAAACTTTAAAAACTGCTTTCTTGTCTTCATCAGAGCGGCATGATAGTACCATGTGAAAGTATTCACTTAGCAAAGATTGAGCTTTGGCATATGGATGGTACATCAGTAATATAGTCATTGCCTGGAAACAAAATGCATCAAAATTACTATAGTAATTTACAAACTATAGTACCAATCAGGTGCATGGTGCATTAACTTACTCTTGTATAAATAGGCAGTTGATCCAGCCTATTGGTATCATGTTCCCAAATAGGAGACTTTTTCAATAGGTACAAAAGTTTGTCCCAATCATGGGCGTATATTGCTCGGCTCATAGCTGCATGTAACTTGTGCCTCCATTTCCTCTGCCTAAGGTTGTTTTCAGTAGAACTGCCCTCTAATTGCAACTGAAGTAAGTTGCGTTTACATCTGTGGTCATGTTCTGGATTGTAATTTTCTACCATATCTATTACTCGTTCCTGGAAATAAAGTTATTTAATGTTTAAGGTATCCTGCATAAATACTTAAAAATTAATATATGGATTGGCGGGTTCATGAGTTAAAAAAATTACTTACCAAAGAACTGAGAGGCACAAAGTGACATTTTTCGATGTCCCCTTTCTTCAACATTTTGAGTACATAATATGTAATGAATTGTAGTTTAATTTACACAAAAAAAAATTAAAACCACAATCACATCAATCACAAAAAACATGTGCCTACTCGAACTTGTAAATAAATAAAAAAAACAAATGTTGTCGCTTGTCAAACTCAAGTGACATTGGATGCAACGTTCAAAAATTTTTTCTTCTTGTTATACTTGGTGTTTTTGGATCTTCTTTCAAATTTGATTTTTTGAACTGCTTTCATTTTTTTTAAATAGTATAATCATTTTTCAATAACTCTTTACTTAAACAAACAACTCCTTAAAATATTTTTACGACCTTGATTTTGCGTTTACACGGCTCCCCAGTTCAGGGTTACCAGCATAACAATACTTAGGTCCTATAGTCGTTTTTGATTATTTTTAATTCAGAAGTTAACAAACATTCACGGTCGATCAAATTTTTTGATACAAAAAAAGGGTTTTGACAAACAGACGAACAATAACAAAGTGAAGTAATGAAAGCGAGTTTTTTTCCTTTCGAGGTACGAAACCCTAAATATAATCTGTAAATCTTAAACTCACCTTATCAATTCTTATCTTGTTCACGTTGTCAAACAATTTCTTGAGATGTACCTGTACCAGTTGTGGTTTTTTTGAATTACCCAGAATTTCCAGAAGGTCATCGTTGGAAATAAAATAAAAACGAGGAAATATCTGTCTTTTTGTTTCGAGATATTTCTCTAACGACCTTAATATTCCATCTAAGTTGTCAACCATAGTATTGAGCTTGTTATACAAAAATGGTGCAGGTTTGTAAAGGCATGCCTCGATTGCGTTGGTTCCAGCATGCATGCTGCAAACAAAAATATTTTAAAAAACATTTAAATTCACAGTTCACGATTTTGGTACACCTCTCTAGTACACATAACTCATCTATTACAGGTACATTTCATATCTTCACAGATTGATAAACATTTATGAACAATAATTTACTAACTTCATAGTAATGTCAGTCCAATCAGCGGTCAATGCATCGAACGTTACTACTTCTTCTGGCAATTGTTTTCTAATATCCTCACCAGCGAATATTATTTCAAGGTAGAGGTAGCGTCGTTGCACTTGTAAAGATATCTGTCGAAAAAATTTAGCTCTATAATAAACTGTATAACTTTTGCTCCGCAGTAAATTATCAATTTGTTTACCTCTATACATTCTGCGACGTATCCCAATGATTTTTCCCAGTAGTCGACTTCTTTTATGAACGGCTCCACGTATTTTGTGGACTTCATAGAAGATAGTTGCACTTGGTGGTCTTCTAGAAACTATAATAATCGTTTTTTTTTACTGTTTAGGATCGCCAAACCCGAAGCCTTATTGTGTAACATATCTACTACTACCAGATAATCGTTCAAATACATTGACATCTAAGCTCGTCGATTAAACAAACCTGTGTCACATCTTCAACATTTTTAATCCTATACATATCACCGTGGTGATGTTGCATTTCATAAGTTGTATTCTTCCACACTTCTCTAATTGCTTTCAGACCATTTTCTATATTTAACTCCATTGTAGCAGCGTTTGATATCTCAGCAATATCCTCGGCATATGCTTGGAAATTCAGACGCATTATCAATTCTAATTTAAAATCTTCTGAAGTTTGATCAAATTCACTGTAATTGAAGTATATATAAATGCCAAGAAGTAAGACGTTGAAGTACTTTTTAAGTGTCATAATATTATATAAAACTAGCTGTCGCCCGCGACTCCGTCCGCGCGGGATTAAAAATAGATGTTGGCCGATTCTCAGACCTACTCAATATGCTCACAAAATTTCATGAGAATCGGTCAAGCAATTTCGGAGGAGTATGGGAACGAAAATTGTGACACGAGAATTTATATTCAAGATGTACGTGTTTTGGTTAAATTTAATTTGCCAAATTAAATATCTCGTAATCATTTTTGGAAAATCAATGTAAGACTGAGGCATCGAACTTTTAAAGCCATAAGTAGTAATCGTTAGGAGGTAGGAAAGGGTAAGGTAAGGAAAAGCATCGCTCATTCCTGACGTAGTTTCAATTTTAAAACATTGCGTAAATAAAATATGCATTTGAGTAGACATATTTAATTTATACGTGTTGCATACGGTATATTTTTTATATAATATTATTTAAACTTACACGCCCATAAGAGTTTTAATTCGATCCCAATGTCTTTCCCTCATGCATGGGTTTTTCAAATCGCCAATTAATGGCAATGTCCTTCTGAAAGCATCAACTTTCACCCGAGTGGTGTCTATAATATCCCATCCCTTGTCTTTAAGCTGTCGTGAAAGACGATTAAAATTCCTATAAAGTAAATGTCCAAATTATTAAGCTTGTCAATTTTTGTTGAAAGTTACGTATTTAAGTACTCCAAAGTTCCTTTACCTAAATAAGAACAGAACGTTTTCTTCCATTTCGTCAGTTTCCATTTCCCAGAAAGTTTGCGTCCTGTATTTCTCCCAGGAATCCTCCCATTGTACGACCAGTCCCCAAACCTCTTCCAGTTTCTCCAGCTCCTTTTCCATTTTCTGCAGGTCCAGATTGACTGGTGTCCTATTGTATGGAAGAAAGTTATAATGGTGACAGCAACAAATTCTGTTACGAATACAATTTTAATATTCGTCAAGTTATTACGTTAAATTAAACACTGCAAGTCCATCTCGTATTTGTTGTTCTTGAGCTCTCAGAGCATTTAACTGATCTCTGAAAGCTTTCAATTGTGCCATAGCATCTTTACCACTGATATCAGAACTGCATGGTGCTGTTTTGTAAAATTCTTCACAAAATTCTTTCGCTGCTTCCTTAAATTCCTGGTGTGAAATATGAAGGTGGGTTAAAAGGACAAGGATAATAGGAAGGGAAGGAAAACAGAAAAAAATCAATATCCTACCTCCGCCTGTTCCAGTAACTCCGTTTTAAACTTATCCTTGTTGGCTTCCAAGGCTTTTTTCGCTTCTTCTAATAAATTTAAATAATCATTCCAAAGAACGGGGATGTTTTCATGACGGGTTACCATATCTGAGCTAACTTCGACTTCAAACTTTGCTGAAGTGTAACATCTCAATTAGTATTAGTGGTTACAAGCCGTGCAACATTTCAATTTTATTGTAAAGGAGATTTTTAAATGTTACATACCTAATGTTGCCATTTGGTCGGTTATCGGTGGGAAGGTTTGTTCCATTGCAACAATTTCAGACATAAGGCGCTCATAAGTAGCTATAGACGATGCCAGTTCCTTCAAATCTGTCGGCATCTGTGTGATAAAATAATTTGATAATTTTGAATCGGTAACTTTAATAAATGGACGTATACATGTGCTTAGCTATTTATTTTGCTACATACCGTCATTGCTTCTTCACTGCTTTTTTCTACATACGCGTACACAACATCAATGTCAGATTCGGTAATTTTTCGAAGTAATTCACCTAATTTAATTTGCCAGGTTAAACAATGTGCAATAATAGATTTTTTCAATTCACTAGAATTTAATGTGACGAAATGTATCTGAAAAAGGGTTATTAATATTTAACAAGTTTAACAAGCTGGCTAAATATGTTTGAATAATCAAAGGACCAAAAATTACAAATAATAACTGTAGAATGAAAATTATTTTACGTTAAATGACTTATTAAGAGAGCAAATACGAATACATTTTTTTAAAGTACAATATTGTTCACCTGATTAACAGTTTCTTGCACTTGGACTGTGTTCGCTAAGTCTGTGTAGGTTATTATTAAATTATCAAATTCTATAGCTTTGTGTTTCTCTTCAAGATATTTAGCCATAAACGCATCCTTGTCAACCTCCCAGATGTGTGCGTAAGGATCCCACATATTTATATGATCATTTATAAGATTTATGTTAAATTCGATTTCTGTAATTTTAATATGATATTTTTATACTGAAGAGATATTTAACAAAGTTTTCCATTGAAATAAAATATTACCGGCATCAATTAGCGCTTGCAATTTGTTACTGTCCGTGTCGACTTTAATAACCTCACAAAACCGTTTCAAACCACCAGACGGAAGCGAGAATTTCTCGAAAAGTCTTGGTATCGTACTCATTATGTGGATGATTTCTTCAAGAACGGTGGTAAAAGACTCACGCAGTTCGTAAGCGGTCGGAATAAAAACGATTTTCTTTCCCGATAGATAAAGGTTCATTTTGATCAATGGTGATGGCGCCATTGTTCCTTGAAATAAATATTTTTTTAAATTCGACGATATTTAAAAGTTTAAAAATGTACAAATTTTGAAAAGTAAATACAACTGGGAGGGACATTCTGGAAAGGGGATAAAACCTGCAGTCCCACTCAAAACAGTTGAGGCAAGAATAGAAAATTGATGTTTATGTTTAAGTTCAGTGTAGTCTTAACACCATTAAAAAAATTAAAAACATTTTGTATAAAATTAATTGTACCATCTCCATGTACGCATTTATACATGTTCTGCATTGTTGCCTTTATTGATAGACGAAGAGCATCTTCTAAAATACGGTCAAATCTTCTCACATATTTTACCCACTGATCGGCCATCTGTAAGAAATGGAATATTTGGAATCAACGAAGTAATAAAAGCATCATTAACTATTTAATGTCTTAAAGGATTTTGATTTGAATACTAAACAAAGTAAAACATTTACTTGTGTTATTTGTGCTTCAAATCCTTCGTATACAATGACAAGGTAAATTATAATCTCTTTATACATTTCTAATATTTTTGCCGCTGCTTCTGCTTCCATTGTTCGAACATATGCTCGAAGGTCCTTAATATCAAACACGTTATAAATATCAAATTCCATGAACGGGGTATCACATATTTTTTCCATAATTTTAACCAAATTCACGTTGCAGTTCTTGTATGTTGTTAGAAAATCTTGCAGCTGTGAAAAGCCAACGAATTTTATATATTTGAAGAAGTAATTATCAAATGTAATTCAATTAATCCAGACCTCTCCAATCTGAGTTACACAGTCGGCGATATATTCATCAGACATCGTAGACGTCCAAGTTAACTTAGAAATTCCTGGTTGTACTTTTCTCTCACATGCCTGAAATAAAATGTTACTTTCATCATACATGATAACCGTACTAAAGTTGTAATCGCCAAATACATACCCATTTAATATCTTTTATCAATCCGCTTACATCATTAATTAAAATAAAAATATACATAATAGAAGTGCTATTAAATTAAAATTTATTTAGCTTCCTTAATTTTAAGCAATTTCTTACAACTTGGCAACACTTTTTGTTTGAAAACAGAAGGCCCACAAGTAATTGACACTGACATTTGACAGATAATACAGCTGTTTTGTGTCTTGCGTGTGTCACTTTCCTTGTTATTTTTATTATTTAAAAAAAATTATTACTTGGGTATAATAAGTACAAAATATTGATAATTAATGTCCATTCTCATATATTGTTATCGTCATAACACGCGTAACAATAGTTTAAATGTCGACAATGCAAACTGGAAATGTAACTGCAAAATTTGGCGGGATTAGGCAAATGAATTTAGCAGATCCCGAACTAGAATTGATAGATCCTACTCCAGATGTACACAGTTTGTTTTTACATTTTGATAAGTTATTTTTTTGGACGAAATTAGCGAGCAGAGTTGCGGTCCGATGGAGCAAAAGAATGTATTCCTGTGCCGGCGTTTGCTCGTAAGTGTTACATCAACGATTTTTTTCATAATATAGCTTGCAAAGAAGCTGGCCACTTGTGTTAGTTAAAATAGTCAAGTGATTGCTGTTCATAGACATCGGTAGTAAATTTAAAAATATGTTTCGCTTGGAATAAGTTAAGATGTTAATAAAAATCAATGTAAAGTTGTTAACACAATAGGGTTTACAAAAATGTTTAACTGAATTTAAAATAAGAAAAGAGAAAAGTCTAAAAACTTAGCTTGTTTGTTTTTCATTTTAATAGATGTAGAAATTCAAAATTTCAGATATGAATGCCGGAGCCGTTTCTGTGATATTGCACTTAGTGAACCATTGCTCAAACTGCGGCCTAGGAAAGATCTTATTGAAACCCTACTACATGAGATGATTCATGCATACCTCTTCGTAACCTGCAGGGACCAGGACCGAGATGGACATGGACCAAATTTTAAAGAACATATGTACAGAATAAATAAATTGGCTGGAGTTAATATCACTATTTATCATGATTTTCATGATGAGGTAATTACCAATAAATCACAACATAAAATTAAGTTAAAAATTGACAAAAGAGAATCATTATCAGCTCACTATACATCCCCACCGAGGAGTTCGGAGCCTACCCTAAGCTAGGGGTGACTAGGTCATAGTCAACCACACTGGCCCACTGTAAGTTGGTTGACTTCACACATATCTTTGAATTATGTTTTCCTTCACCGTAAGAACGTCGGTTAAATTTACATATGTAAATCGAAAAATACATTGGTACATGGCGGGTTCGAACCTAGGACCTGCGGATTACAAGTCAATTGCTTAAACCCCTGAGCCACCAACGCTCTTCAAAAGAGAAAAATATTATAAATGAAAATGTTTGCTTGGATGGATGTATGTTTGTTACCAATTAACATTCTGAATGGCTGCATGTATCTCACTGAAATTTGACATAAATGAAAAACATAAGAAGAACACATAGGCCTACAAATAAAGTTTTTTCAATCCCGTGCAGAGTCGAGAGCGGCAGTAATAACAAAAATTACAGTATCCTAGCAAATTATGGACATTTGATTTCCAGGTGGAATTATACCAAACACATTGGTGGCGTTGCAACGGGCCGTGCCAGAAACAAAAGCCATATTTCGGTGTTGTACGTCGCTCAGCAAACCGAGCCCCCGGACCGAATGACTATTGGTGGAGTAGACATCAAAAAACATGCGGCGGTACATTCGTTAAGATAAAAGAACCAGCAAAAACTACAAAAACAAAAGAAACAAAGCAAAAGAAACCAAAAGAGGATATAACCAAATACATAAATAATAACAAAGATTTACTAAATAAAAATACGCTTATTAAACCTCCTAAGGATAAAAAAGATAATAAAAAAACTATTTTAGTTACTGATAATACTGATATACTAGTTTCTCAAGTTGATAAACTTAAAAATAATGATAAAAATGCAATAGATAGTAGAAAAAGTCTTCCATCCAATGTTATAGAGACGGTAAGAAATGTATGGACAAATAAACAACTGCCTGGTATTAAAAATATAAATTCAAATAATAGTAAAAATAATTCCGATACAAAAATAGATTTAAATAAGCACAAATCTAGAGATTCAATTAATTCCCCACCAAATAAAATAAGGAAAATAGATGATTATTTTAAAAATGTAGCCACAACTGTATTAAAAGATATTTATGGCGAAGATTTTAAAATTTCCGAATCGGAAAAAGATAAAAAATTGATTGCGTCCAAAATCAAATTAGTAGATTGTCCGATATGTAATATCCAAGTAAACGAGGACGTAATAAATAGACATTTAGACGAATGTTTAAATAAAGGTATCATAGATAAAATAACAAAACCAGAAATAGCAGCATCTAGCAATAAAGATAATAAAATAAATTTAAAAATAAAAAATGAACCCATAGACAAAAACGAACAAACTCCATCTAGCAATAACAAACCAATTAAAATTGAACCAGGTTGCAGTAAAGATATCAAATCAGAATTGACACAAAACTGTCCATGTTGCGGTAAAACTATTGAAAAATCTGTACCTGAACATTTAGACGAATGTCTTTCATTTTTTGATAATAATAGCACAATACCAGAGGAAGGTGCTTCTAGTTTTATTATGGAAACCATAGTTCTTGATGATGATGATGATATTATGGATGAAAGTCAAACATTTAATGCAACAGGAACCAAATCACCTTGTCCCTGCTGTCTTACGATGATTGAACAGAATAACATGAATGAACATTTAGATATTTGCTTATCTTCATAATTGAATTAATAAAACACTGTTTGTAACGGAAAAGACTGATTGTTGTATAAAAGTGATATTATGTCTTAATTTAATTAAAGATTAAAAACATTTTACTTTTTTTATTCCCTAATATTTTGTTATTTTAAGGCAAAACAATATTACGTAATAACTCATAAATTGTTTTATTCATTTTATTTCTCCCTGTTAGGTTGGCAACAAGCAGACGACCAGTCTTAAAGACCCTACGAGAGAGGGTTAAGACCAGGGAGGTAATTTAATAACATAGAAATATGTTATCGATTAATACATTGATTAATTACTAATCGATTAATTATTAGTTAATTGTCTATTCCAACACAGAATACTTACAGATATGAGTGGTTTGAAGAGGAGTCTCTCTGGCTCTGAGAGTGAGTCCAATATCTTGTTGTAGCCCTTCACCACGGCCAGCACGTTCTCATACACGTACAATAATGTCTTACTCTTCATATAAACCTTTATTTACATAAAGTTTAATTATTATATAATATATATAAATGGATAGGTTATTGCTTGGATTTGATAGCGTTATTGTTATTCCGACTTAAACGTGCTTGTTGAAGTTCTTAACTTAATTCTCTTTCTTCTTAGTTCGAATCCTCAACACCGCTACCAACCGCATCCATCAGCGCCAAAATGGCGAAGGTCAAATTGGCACAAAATAACACCGTCTATAGCCTTTCCATGTACAAAGGTCAGTGTTTTAAAACTTTAGTGTTGGTTAAGAAACCATATAATAATCATTTCATATCTCTATTCACTTTCCTATTAAAAATTTCACTAAACATTCTTCCTTGTATTTCCTAACTTAAAGAAATCCTTCCTAAGGGAGACACTTAATTTTTTTGAGGTTACCGTAGTTTTTTTCTATATTCATCGTTTGCCGTGCTTACTAATTAACGACGTAAAGCGTTACTTTTTTAAAATAAATGGGAAAAAAGAACTAGAGAATGAATTAATAAGTTCATTATTTTATACTGTACCTGAAAGGCGTGCAGTGGTATATCCAAGCCCATGTTCTCCCAATGCGAAGCTTCTTTACATAGTTCTAATATATTTCTGAAATATTAAATTAATTATTACAGTAAACATTCAAGATATTGCATGACTTTAAACTAATATACTAACACGTCCATATTGCATTCCATTAAGCCTGCGTTCTCGGAGCTCTTCCGCATCAAAGTTCTGTTCAGACCGGCGCTACATCTCTCGTCAAGGTTATGCTGATACAAAAACGATATTTTAAACCTATCGCCTAATACTATAAAATAACTCAATACATTAAAGGAACGCGTCCATTGGCCCGCGACTAAAGCAACGCTCGCACGGATTAAAAGGACGCAGCGCTATGTAAAATACAAAGCAAATTAAAATCTGTTGCAGACCGTGTATGCGGTGGGTTCGGCGCGAGCCAATGGACTTTTAACTTAAGATCACTTTTCTAATAACTAAGCAGTAGTTGTTATTTCTGTTAGCAACGTATTTACAATAGCGTTGACGCTTATCAACGCAGCGACTGCGAACCAAACGTTTAGTGGAAAAGGACTCTTGGGCTGTCAACGCCTGAACTTGAACTCACCGTCCATGATATCCATATCTCACGTATATTGACATCAATGGCGCCGACTAGCCGGTTGACATGCATGATCACATCCTCAGAACTGCTGCATTTCATCATCCAGACAGACGCATCACGCATCACCTGGAAATATAATGTTATAGAAACGGCAGAAGATCGAAAGTAGCGGAAAGAAGACGTCTATGTCCAGATGTAGATTAGTAAAGGCTGCTAGACCAGGATGATGAATCTTATAACACATAAAAACAATCGATGGAGGAAACCTACATTGGCGAAGTAAGGCGAAGTGGCACTGAACGTGTTAACCTTTAATCCACTTATGGTATGTGGTTGATAGATTTGAGCCTATTTCTAGTGGTTTGTAAAGAAAGCTTAACTTAAATTTTAAACGTACATTTTTTAAATAAATTAATCGATTTTTTCTCATCTTGAAGACGGCAGCTCTACCGGCAAACGGCGGTAAATCGGAGGGATACTGGCCGCGAGTGGACACCATGTCTTTCTTAGTCTCTTGTACTGCATCGCTAAACATTGCCCACACCTAAACATTAAGATAGACAATTAATCAAAAAACGAAATCTAAATGTATGTTTAAAAGAGCAACTGTTAGAAGCTAGTCGATTAGTGGAAAAGATATTACTTCAGCTGTCTTCCTTTTGAAGATACGCTTCAAGTTTTGTCTCCTGGAGTAATTGTGTAGCGAATAGAGGGCAACGACCGCCTCCTCAACGTGGTTGACTCCCTCGAACACAGACTCCACTAGGTTCTCAATTATAACCTGTCAATAGTTTATTGAATGCAGTTATTATTCCAACATGGTTTAATTCGGATCATTCAATCTCTGCATTACATGATGTACGATATTGTCGTCCAGTTAATTATATACTTACTTCAATATCCTTTATCGTAGACCTGAACTGCAGTATATCGTCGTACCACGAAGGTGCCTGCACATCGAGGATAGTATGCGCGACCTTTCGCACCTGCCCAAGCGCGTAGTTGAACATCTTCTCTATCTGGTCACACTTCGCCTCAAACTGATCACCGTTAGCGCCCGCGAATATCGGCTTATTTATCTGCTCTATTTCATCGATCCTAGATAAAAAAACTTAACTCCTAAAGCACTAAAGAAAGAATGAAATAATTAATATAAAGAATTGACAATGTTTCTTACCTTCCAAAAATAATCATACAATTACAAACATCCAGCATATCAAAGCATCTTTGAATGAATGAGTCAATATAATTAAAAATAGATCCAGAGTCTAACTCCCAGCTGCCTGGCTTCTCTGCTGTATGCGATTCCACCATCACGTCATATATCTCCCTGTACTTCTTGCAACAGTCTATGCATTTGCTGAATTCACCGAGAGCCTTCTTTGTCTGACCGTCGAAGAGATCATCCAATTGGATGTAGTTCTTGCATAGAATTATAATCTGGTTGCTAAGGGCCTTGAAAAGATTTGTGATGCGAGCTTCAGAGTTGTAGTGGGGAGACTCCATCCAAATGAACCTAAATAAGTTTATAATTTGCGGGATATGTTTGGAGATTTTATCCGGATCGACGACACACTCGAGTACGGCGCAGGGCTGTTTAATGACTTGCAAAAATTCTATATTTGAAGTCGCCTCTTTGATTTTCTGCACAATTTCTTCGCACAGAGCTTGGAACTGATGTATGAAAGTGGAATGTGTAGTCACAAGGATCTTGGTGATGTGTTTTACAGCTGGATTTTGCAGTTGGTATAGCAGAGCATTCAAGTTTTCATCTGAAAGACGACAAAGCATTGTCGATGGAATGATGAGTTCGCCCCGGTTATTACTAACGACTTACGTTGTTAAATACTTACGTCTATAAACCCAAAAGTCATACTCGTCACTTGGACATAAAAGCTCCTTTTGAGAGGACACGGAGGCGTGGTCCTCGACGCAAGATTTTATCTGATGTGTCCAGTATACTACCACACCTTCCAACCTCTTTACCAGCTCGCGGTCTGCGCTCGCCTGCTCGAAAGAGAGCTGCTGACCCTCACGCGGGATATACAGGACGGTTAGGCCGAGCATTTTGTAGTACATATCCGTCAATTTTGCGAGAAAAGTGTGAATGTGAGAGCAAAATTCACTCTTTACACCTGAAATCATAGTAGTTGTGATGTCAGAATTATTGTCCAATCAATCTTATTCCTGTAAATATAAAAGACACTATGAGACTGCACCTTAAATTGTAATTTACTTACTCTCTGGCCAAGTGGTAACAGCGAAGAAATAAGGAGCAAAAACAGATTCCAACACTTGTATCATATTTGATTCCACGGAATAAACGAAAGTGCCAAAAATGATATCGTCATGAAATGTCTCCACTTTGAATATATAATCCGGTTGACGAATGAAATACATCAAATCATATACGGGGGTAAGTGGTATGTCTAGAGACGCTTTTAATGTCTCGCCTCTAAAGTATATACAGAGCATAAGAGAACGAGGATCTAGAATCCATTCCTCGATCTTCTCCTTGGTTATCTGGTTCCAGTCTTCGTCTCTAAGGTCGTAGAGAGTTGTCATTCTCATGATGAAACCTATCAGTTTCTCCAAATCCTCTTCTGGATAGACCGGTTTCACTGGTTGTTCTGCTAATTCCCGCTCCAGTTGAGCCAAGCGCTCTCTTTCTGCAATAGATTTTATTATGTTTAACTAAATAAGTAATTTATCTTTTCTGCTATTTTGCCTTGTCCTGTCCTTTATTATCATGGATAACTAATTCGATCCCCCTTCTTTTGTTTCAGGCATTGAGCTTAAATTGGAAAAGATAAATAAATGTGTCCAATTCAAATCACCTATCTCTCTCTAACTGTTCATATAGAAGTATTACAATGTTCTTCTTTCAGTTTATAAAACCGTAATTTAGTTCTATTTTAATTACTGTGACTTTAGGGTCAAAATTAACATACCTCTTTCTTCTTCCGAGTCATGGCTAAGATCGTCGCTCCAGGCCACTTTAACCCTTTTCGGTCGTTCCTCCGTCATAACTATTTAATTAATTGAAAGAACAAAAGAAAGAAGTATTTATTTAATCCCGTATAAGATTAAAATCATTTTTTCACATACAACTGTTCGGATAACAGTGACAGGGAAAATTATTATTTACTCCTTTTTTATTTTAATAGCAACCAGTTACATAAATGTATTTTTACAACAATTGCGAATTTTTTATCTAAAATAAAACAAAAATACGAAGATAATTGTTAACATCGACTTGGTACTTAATTGTAACTTTAGTCGTTCTGTGAGATTGTTTTTTCAATTGTTGGTTGCTAAGCTTCAAATCCCAGTTCTGTTTACTAACTAAACGAGCTGGCTACGTGCCTGCGTGTGTTGATAAGTAAATTTGTAGGGGACTTTCTTTGAATTGTTGATGATGATGAGTTACAATGGTGATGTAACTTCTGGAAAGTTAATCACTTCTTACAAGTGTTATAAAAGCTTTACTTAATGACATTTTTTAAACTAGCCTAGTGTAGAGGAATTCTAAAACTGCTTAAATATAAAGATCGTCTTTAATTGAATCAAAATGCAGAGTAAATCCTTCTTAATAACAAAAAATTTCAAATAATTTATAAAACTTTTCCGTGATAATATTAAAAATAAATAAAGCTGACAATTCTGTCATTCGGTTTAACAATAGTGTCAATTTCCTAATGTTTTATTGATATGAATTTTGTCGATTATTACAACAGGTGAATAATGTGTTATTTCGGTTTTACGAATACGGTTACTAAGTTTTTTGAAAGAGCGGATTTAAAAGTGAAAAATATAACAAACTGATATATAAACACGGCTAAACACTCACGTATAGTCGTCCGGTGGCGGCACCGACTAGTTTCGAGCCCATCGGGGGCCCTTCATCAGGATGAGTGGTACTGGTATTATTTCGCGGACGCGGCCCGTCGCTCACTGGCGAAACTAGTCGGTGCCGCCACCGGACGTATATACGTGAGTGTTTAGCCGTGTTTATATATCAGTTTAGTATAATGTCTCACGAAAGTTTAAATAATTTAATATTATAACAAGTTTATAGATAAAACATCGCTGCAAAATAAACATTTCACTGCAATCAATTTCACTGAGACAGACCATTTTAATTGAATTTGTTAATGTTACATAAATGTAAATGCAGTAATATTTACTTGATTAAGTCGAAAAGTTGCATGTAACATGAGAATGTGAGTTGTGTGTATGTATGTGTGTTGTAGGAGAGGCAGCTAGCATGGGCCGGGGCGCGCTGGCATGGCTTGGGGCGCGTTCTCATTCAGTCGCGAGGGGCGTGCGCGGCTGGCGGCCGTGTTGCGCGCGCTGCTCATCGTGCAGCTGGTCATCTCGCTGCTGGTCGTGCTGCTCTGCTACAACGCCTCCTTCCGCGTCATGTCACTGCTCAAGCAGGTGCATCGCGTAAGTGCATGCACATATATAATCCTCACAACTTGCAACGTTTAGTCAACCTGTGTGTAAACTAAAAGTGACACGAACTAATTTGAAGTCTATCTCTATTTAAAGAATATTTTACGGATGATGACAGAAATCGATTGTTCACTAACATAGGTAGAGAATGGTATAAGTATATTTTGTTTGTGTGTGCAGCTAACAGTGTACCTGTTCTACGGTCTGATCGTGGTGCACGCGTACTGCATGAAGCTGCAGTATACGAGCGGACTGCGGCTCATCTCGTGGCTGCTCAAGTGCCCGCACTGGCCGCGCGCCGCACTCGCCGCACGCACATGGCTCATCAGCGGCACCCTAGTCGCCTTTAACGGCCTGCTTGTTTACGCCGCCTGCAGGGGGACTCTCAAGGTTAACAAATGGTCAACCTTGATTACTGGCATTCAGTTCATAAAACGTAATGTTGTTGTTGGGGCTTAGTTTCCAGCAGTCTTTCTAGCTCTCAGAAGTGTAGTAACAACTCGTCGATGTTGCTTTTGAGTTCCGGAAATGACGGATACTCAGAATACGCTATAGTAAAAATTAGTCCCCAAAAATTTCGATTCATCTGATGCATGTTGTCATTTTAGGCGCTAATGAAAGAACTATCATCCTCTCTCCGCATTGGGATCGCGCAGTACCTCACGGAGCCCACGTGGAAACATCTCATGGACACAATGCAGGTGCGGCTGACACTACACTAACCATACGGCATATCCTCTAGAATATTTTGAAGCTATAATTAAATGTTTTGCGTGTGACGTCAGATAGAGCTAAGCTGCTGCGGTGTGGAGCGACCTAACGATTGGCACGAGATACCCTGGATCAACCTCGACTTCCTCAACGAGGAATCCCTCGTCGTTATGAAGTAAGTACCAGTTTATCTACAATTATATTCTATCGATAAAGAAGACCAATATACTAGAGTTGTTTGTGACAGATTGGCGGGCACTGATGGCAAGATCCTGCCGCCGGTGTCGCCGTACTCGTGCTGCACGCCGCGTGTACTCGCCGCCTGCTATCACGACCCCCTGCAGCAGGTCAACACCACCGATATAGTATTTCATTATTTATTTCGCATTTGTACTGACTTAATTTTTAATTGTTTGATCACTGATCGACTACTCTCCTGGATTTTGCAAGTTGCACCTGTTTCGTAGTAATTTTAGAATGGGTAAAAATTCGATAAATTTAAAGGCAAGGTTATATTGTTTCCCTGTTTTCCTTGGATTGTAAGATGTATTATAATGAGGGGTTAACCCTCTGTGTGTGTGTAGGTGGAGTGGCGCGGCGCGTGGGCGACGGGCTCTCCGCTGCCGAGCGCGTCGCTGCACACACGGGGCTGCGCGGAGGCGATCCGGGCGCCGCTCGCACGCGCACTGCTCGGGCTGCAGGTCTTCAATGTGCTCGTACTATTGCTACAGGTGCTCTGTTACATTATACGACACATAGATCGCATTAGTTGCTTTTCGTTGTCTGTTAGAACGAGATTGTAGGTCATGACTACCTCAAAAATATCAAATAAGGGAATGGGGGGCGGAAGGAGAGGAATAAGAGAAAGGATTAAGACTGCATGGCTTTTTAACATATAGTTTGATATTTATTAGGCACAAGTTATAATCAAGGGGTTTTGGTCGTGAGCATATTTCTTTAGAATAGTCGTTTGCAGTTCATCATAGTGATCCTGGCGCAGCTGCTGCGGACGAGCGCGATCGAGGCGGTGCTGAGCGGAGACTTCGATGGCCTAGGCCGCGGCTGGCTGCTGGGCACGCTCGGTCCTACTGAACGCGCTTCCCTAGTTAGTACTGGACTGTACTATTGTTTTGTTGTTAACTTTTATTAAGGATACTTAAGTTGATATTACTGTTGCAGATAACAAAGGCGGAGGCGTACGTGAGCGCGCGCGCAGAGATCTCGTACCGCCGCGTGCCGCGCACATACGCACGTTACAGCTAGCGGTGAGGTGACTATATTATACTACCCATGTAACACCGGGGGTACAAAATTAACGACGAGAGGAGCAGCGCAATAGTGGAAGGGGGCGAAGTAAGCAATCATACTCATCCCCTCCAGAGTGTTTCTCTGTTTTGTGTTAAACTTTAGATGACATCATCCCGCTCGTCGCTAATTTTGTGTCCGAGGTTGTAGTCTTTGATTATGGATATGGTTCATTTTTTGTTATTATTATTATTCTATTTTTAAATATATTTATAAGCTTAAATTGATTTACTTACACCCTTCATCAGTTTAGGGACGGGAGATAAATGCTTTAAGAGAATCAAATGTTTAAGGTCTGGTTCTTAACTGTTTAGGATGGGTCTCTTTTTTTTTCTTTATTTAATATCATTGTTTTGTATTTTTGCAGGTAATCAATGTATCAGACGATGTACATTATTATAAATGTTGTAAATATTACGTTATATGTTAAAGTTGTAACTCTGCGGTGAGCTGATGGTTATAAATAAAACACATATAAATCAATGCAAGGCTTTATTATCTCGAGTTTATTGTAAACAAGTCCTTACTAACTAATAGTTAAGTAACAACGCGGATGCGAATAGAGAAAGCCGTCGTTATGATTTGTGCGGCGCCATGTTTTTAAATACAATGTTTATATCATAAATAATAATAAATATATATATCATTTTATAAATATGCGTGTGCAGATGGCGCGGGCGAGCGACGTCTCTTACTTTCCTATCAAATTCGTAACAAATATACAAAAACCTTGGTATTTACAGACATGCGGCCATCACGCCCGCCGCCATCTCTCTCTGGAATGTCACTGTCACCCGCCGTCACGTGCAGTCACGTGCTGTCACGTGCAGTCACGTGCAGTCACACACTGTCACGTGCGGCGCACACTTGTCGCTGACGTCACATCCGTACACTGTCACGGCGAGGGTTACAAGGGATGGATTACATGAGCCGTCTCAGATGTACTCGAGGTCCAAGAGGGTGTGGACCTCAGCGTGTGACGTCAGCGTTTCAAATCAAGGAATGTACAAAGAATACTAATACGTACATGTCTCATCTGATGTTATTATACAAAATTATTACAGGAAACATCCTGTTATAAGAAAATATTGCCATCTCTATCATTCTCTATGAAAAAGACAAGGATAGCAATATTATCCTATGCAAGTGTCACATTTGAATTGTTAAGTTAGAAAGTAATATTGGGGGTCGTAGTTGGTAGTGCTCAGAGCGGCGGAGGTCCGTCCGGGTACCTGAGCACGGGGTCGAGGGCGAGGGCGGGCCCGCAGGCGTGGGGTGAGTCGGGGGCGTGCGGGGCGAGGGCGGCGGCGCCCAGCAGCAGCAGCAGCAGCGCCTGGAAGGGCAGGGAGGCGCGCGCCACGCGGCACACGAAGCGCAGTCCGCGCTGCACCCGCCCCAGAGACTGCGCCTCGCTCTCCTCAGACACCGGCACCCTGCACACACACACACACACACACACACACACGTTACATTGTATACATACAGACAGAATAGAAATGAAACATGCATTTCAATAGATTAACAAGAGAAAAGAGTTAAGCATTAAGCATAAGGACGAAAGAGTCGTAAGAGAAAAGAAAGTCAAATTTATATTCAATTAAAACAAATTTCAAACAGTAGAAAACTGATTTTTTTATACAGTTGATAAAGTAATGAAGTTACATTAAAAACATTTAAATAGTTAAGAAAATAGTGAGATAGCAGAACAAAGTAGTGTGGTGAAATGCATGCACACAGTCAGTCGGTCAGTCAGTCAGTCAGTCAGTCAGTCAGTCAGTCAGTCAGTCGGTCAGTCGGGAGGTACTTACTGTGGGGCGGAGAGGGGCGGCAGGCCGAGGGACATCTGCTCCTCCTCCTCCTCCAATAGCTAAACGAGGAGAAAAATACGTCAAAATACGTGCGAAGCGACTACTGTGGTCACACATCTTTGCTATGACAACGTTATTTTCATTTTAATTAATTTAATGTGCTTTCAAATCAAATTTGTAAAATTATTTTTATTTCTGATACTAAAATCTCTATATAAAACATTGTCATCCCTGTTTGACAAAACAAAGATAAAAATATGTTTTAAATTAGGATTTTAGTCTCAGAAACCTAAGGTTAATCCAAAATTATGTTGACAATAGCATATTTTTGAATCTGGTCACTACATGATTATATCTAAATGTTTGTAAATATCTCACGATTTCATTAACAATATAAATTTATCTATTATTTTATGAATAATGATAAATATAAAGAACTACATTAATCTGTGTACGTCTACATGTCAACAAGCTTGTATTTGAGCCAAAAGTGATCTGTGGAAAGCGGTGCTCGTCTCACAAATGTTCATCTGCTCAATCATTTATCTTAGGCTAACATTTTTAAATGAGTAATTTCTAACCTATAATGTATTTGTGTTCGTATCTTTATAAAACTAGACAGATACTAAATGTGGGTTTCTAAAACCAAAATGTCTGTATAAAAAATAATCCTGTCTCTATTTTGTCAAAGATAATGACAGGGATGACGAAATGTTTTATACAGAGAATTTGGTCTCAGAAACCAACGATAACTTTAACACATATAATTGACACCTGGTACTTTTTTGTTTATTTGTAATTGCAGAATGTCATCATAACAGATTTGACAAAAAAAATGCTTCGTGACATATTCTGTGCGTCACAAAATAACTATATTCACTAAACCTACGCTGTGGTGTAGAATAGTTGTGTGTGGGCGTGGCTAGTGAGTTTGGGGCGCGGCCTGTGTGTGTGTGGGCGTGGCCTGTGTGTACGTGTATGTGTGTACCTGTGGGGCGAGTGCGGCGGCTGCGGCGGCGGCGAGGGGCGGGCCTGCTGCGGGGTGCCGGGCCAGCGCCGCGCCCAGCTTCAGCGCGTACACTGCAGACAGCTTGCGGAGAGACTGCAGCCGCAAGCGCAGCTCGCCCAGTCTGATAACAATATCCGATTTGAATTCACATATGTCTAAAAACCTACATAATTTTAATAAAATCAAATAGATAAGTGCTGTAAAGTTATCAATAAAAAGAGACATCCATGACCGAGTATTAATTATTGAGATTTTAAGTTACAGCAATGTCTAATGTGGTAATACAGATTTGCAGTGAAAACTGAGTATAGATGATTAGGCGACTAGTGTTACCTGCGGCAGACGTGCTGCGAGTCTGCGCCGTGCAGCAGGGCGGCGGCGTCCCGCAGCGCCTGCACGCGCGGCTCAGCTCGCGCCAGCTCGTCGCGCAGCTCGCTGAAGCGGCGGAAGTCTGCGCGCAGCTCCGCGGGGGCGCGCCGCAGTCGCAGCGGCTCGCGCGACCGCACGCACCCCTCCGCCTCCGACAGCTGGCCCACCAGCTCCTCCACTGTCACACCATGACAATACCACACCGTTACACTGTGTGCTCATATACAACTGTCGCATTTGTACAGATAAAATTCTCTCTGTTTATTCAACCTACTAATGTTTAAAATTTAATAACCAACACAATCCATCTCTTCCAAATCCTAGGGAGAGATGGATGGATTGCATGAAAGTTGACAAGATCAAAAATGGAGTTACGACTGAGCTGATGGAAAATAGATCAATGGTGCACAGTGGAACAAAGACAAGGAAACGATGACTTAGTATAGATTTAATATAGGAAACCTTTACTATGTGACTTGCTTAGCGCTAAAGTAAGCACTCTGAGTAAGACAGTAAAAAGATCAGTAAACGTTAAAAAAGGTGCAGGATTGTCATGTATACATACCGATGTCGTGGAACTGCTGGTTGTGCACGAGCGCGTGCTGCAGGCGAGTCTGCCAGGCGGCTGCGCGCGCGCACGCGGCATCCCAGCGCGCGTTGGCGGCGGCTAGGCGTGCGCGTGCTCGCTCCCCAGCAGCAGGCTCGCGCGCATGCTGCGCCACGTGCGCGCCCACCACATTCAGAGATACCACCAGCGCTTTGTGGGAGTCCAGGTCCAACAAGAACTCACGGTGGTCCTACGAGAACGAATAAACATAATATTTTAGCATAATATGACTTTAGCTCTGGTAAGATGTATTTCGAATAATTTCAGTAGTTCAATAGTCTCCAGGTCATATGACTTGTTACCGTGGTGCCATCTGACCTGTATAGCGTCTTCGAGAGCGTCGTAGTTGTGCGGTGGGTCGGTGCGCGCCTCGTCCGTGGCCTCTGCGAACTGCAGCCACTGTTCCAGTCGCCACAGATCGTTGTCCAGCTGCTTCCAGTTGCGGTCCGAACACAGCGGACACGTCAGCCGACCGGACTCGCTGCAGGTAACAATTCAGTTATCTTACCTTATTACGTTACCTCAGTTACATCCGCTAATACGTTTGGATACATATTTTAAATAGTTAAGTATAATGAATTTTAAGTTAGCCAATATATAGTAACTTATACAAGTTTGGCTTTTTGTAATAAATATTTAAACATGTAAAATGCAATACAAAATATAAATAGATATTATAATACTGTTTTTTTTCGCAATAAATTTCTAATACATTTTAATTAATATCATAATTATAAAAACCCACAAAAATTCCCACTAATTTGTGCAAACTACGACTAATTGTAAGTAATTAAATTTATAACACTACAGTGAAACAAATACCATGCACTACATTGAATTCAACATTCAGAAATATTTTAGGTTATATGTCAAAACTATCAATAAAAACTTGACAGATAACCTAAAAATGTTTGCACCAGAATAACATCAAAGTATACAATGCAATTTAACTTTGCCTTCCAAGCATTACAATATTTTAATTAAGTTTTATAAACATTTCTTTTTTTAACAAGGCTAAGGCAAATTATATTGCAGAAAAATAAGGAGATTAATATAAAATTAGAAAGCTGTACTCACTGTTCGCACGTGAGAGCGTATGACGCAGAGTGGGGCAACCTATGGGACCAGAAAAACGCATGTGTTTAATCTTAGGGCATGCCAGGTTAACAAGCTTGTTAAACACTCCTCTTCAGCTCGCAGCACAACTAACGTCTAACCTCACTCCGACAACGCTAACTGTCAAAATTTGACATTTCGAAACCGCCAAAATATAATTTATAGGTTAATTAACAACAATAATATATGTTGTTAAAACACTTATTTATATACAGATATTTATATAACCTCATTAGACCCGTTTATTTTTTAATCTATAATACAAAAATAGTCAATCTTAATAAAAAAAATCCATCGTAAGAAGCCCCTCCACCACAACTGAAAGTGCTCAAGTGCTACATTTTGTAGCAGATCACAGAAATGAAGAGATGTATTAAAATGTGACGTCATACTTGTATAGACAACTAAAATTGTTATGTCCGTCCAGTTTATAAAGTAAACTAATAATATATTAATTAATAAACAACATAATATTTGAATCATTTATCAATTTTAAGTTTAATAAAAAATCTCTAAAATTTAAGTCAGTTTTTTGAAGTCATTGCGAAAAGATTGTAAACACTAATTTATTTCAAATATTCCTGTTTAATATCTAAATGAGTCTGGTTTTTAACGTCAAAAGCGTAAAGCAAATAGATAAAAAAGTGCGTGTGTAAGATTAGGTGTGTGCGTCTGTGTAACATCTCTCCCTTGTGTGATCTGCGTGTACAATGCAAACGTAACCAACAACAAGCTCCCCCCCCCCCTCACACCCTCACTCACCTCAAGTTGTTGATCTGCAGCTCCCGCTTCTTCGCCTGCGTCAGCAAATCTTCGTATCTCAGAGACAAGGACTCCACTTCTTTGAGCATCGCCTCGTCTTCCGTCGCGTCGCACTCGGTGAGCAACAGTTCTGACAAATGTTTGGCCAACTCTAGCGTCTGTCCAGGCTTGGCACCGGCTTTGGCGATCTCCTTCGCCGCGGTGGCCATCTCCTCGCCGCCGGCGTCCTCCTTCAGCTCGTACTGCAGCGCTGTCCGCAGCGCCTCCAGGGCATCCGAGGTCTCCCTGACTGCGGCCGCCAGCTCCACGCTGTACGTCTCCTTGGAGGTGAGGGTGTCCACCTGCAGCGCCGCGTCCGTCTCCCACGTCAGCGTGTCCACCTGAAGTTGATAGAGCTGCTTAGTAACACGAGTAATGTGTGTAAATGTAAAATAAAAGTAAGTAACATAGCGAGATAGTGACCTGCACGGCGCTGTCCACATCTGCGCCGGCGAGCAGGGAGCTCCTGGCGAGGTGGAGTCTCGTGGTGACGTCCTGCAGCAGCGCGCGATACTCGGCGGCCAGCGCCGCGGAGCCCCCGGCGCCCGCCAGTGCGGCCTCCAGTCGGTCGGCCTCCGCCACCAGCGCCCTGCACTCGCCGATCTCTGCTTCAACACCCTGAAACGCAACATCGTTGTTAAGTCTCAAAATAATCCTTACAAACCTCGGAATAATTGTATATTGAATACAATGAAAATAAATACTTACGTCTAATTCCTTGAGAGTGGCGTCGCGGTCCGTGGGCGTGGGCGCGAGATGCAGCGCCCTGGTGAGCCGCACGTCGGCCTCGGCCAGGGCGACGACGGCGCTGCCGTGCGCGGCCACGAACTGTCGCTGCAGGTCGGTGCCGGCGGCGGCGATGCGCGCGCGCAGCTGCCGCCAGCGCCGTGCGGCCGCCCGCAGCCGCGCCGCGTGCTCGCCCGCCGCACCGCGCATCTCTACCCCGCGACTCGACTGGATCCGACTGTACGTGTCTTCCAGTCTCTTCACGTCCTCCTCGAGAGCGTCCAGGTCCTTTAGCGCGGCCTTCGACACGCTGTCATCGTCGACGTCGCCGCGCTGTTTCCTTATTTCGACTTTCTCCACTCTCCTCTCTATTCCGTCCAATTTTTTCTCCACCTTGGGCAGCAGCGAGTTCGCCAGCTCCGCGCACTTTCGGATCTCCTTGAGGGCGATCTTCCGCCGCTCGGACATCTCGCAAATGTTCTTCCACTTCTTGTCCACGATGTCGACTCCGGTCCGCAAGTTTCTTAGGTCGAAGTTACCCGAGAGGGCGTCGGGGTCGTTGAAGACTAGTTCACAGAGATTCAGGGTTTCGCCGACTTCGCCGCTCTCGTGTTCTATGCTCTTGTGTATTTCATCGCGATTTTGGAATTTCTCGTCGACGGCTCTCGTGGTGAGGCTCTCAAAGACGACCGTGGCGGTCAGCTCAGATTCTATCGAGTGTAATTTCAGTCTTATTTCTGTCAGACGCTGCTCCAGTTGACCGATAGTCTCCAGCAGCTCGTTTATTTTGGCGATCCTGCTGCGGCCCGTCTCCTGCAGTCTTTGCCACCGCTCCAGAACGTCCTTCAGTTGTTTGGAGATGTTTTTGCTGAACGATTTCTCGTCTTTCTTAGACAAGTCGACTAAGGTGGTGCCGGTTTCAGTGAGCCATTCGAATTCTCGTTCCTTTAGAGCCGTCTCGGTCTGAATGTCAGAGTTGATTTTCCTAATAAGATCCTGAGGGTCCAGAGCGTTAACTTCGGTGTTGGAGGTGTCAAGGCGGGATTCGAGGGCCGTCATCCACTCCGAGAATCTTGTTATCCTCGAGGTGAATATCGTGTAGATCTCCAGCCTCTCCTGCAGCCTGTGTATTATGATGGAGAGCTGATGCTCCAAGTCCGCCCGCTGCTGTCGCATCTGCCACACTTTTTGGTTGACGATGCGTATGTCCTGGGGACTGAGGCACTCCTTCAGTTGTTCCTGAATGACGCTCAGAGCTTCTATTTGGTTTTCAGTCTTATCTATTTTCTTTCTCGTTTCCGAATATTTCTCGATCGCTTTTTTGATCTGCGGCCGCGAGAGGCGATCGTCGTCAGAGTACGTCATGATTTCGTCCTGCGTCCTCGAGTAAAGTTTATGTAATTCCCCGGTCAAATTCTCGTACTCCCCGATCAGTCCCAGTATTCGAGTCAAGAAGTCACGCCACGTGTCAAGACTAGCCTGTAAGTTGTCAACTCGTTTTACTATTCCGGCGTACTCCATTCTCACCGAAGCTCCATACGTGTCATCCGTGAAGACTAGAACTCTCCTGAGGTACACCGACAATTTGTCCGCAAACTTCCTGCCTTCGGGTAATTTGTCGCTGAGATTTTGTATTTTCGACAGTATTTTGTTGACTCTCTTTATGTGGACGTATCTGAGCTGCAGCTTCTCTTTTTCTCTCTCGATTTCTTTCAGCCATCTCAGCAGCTCGGTGTATATTTCTCTGTAGTCATCCCAGGCAGCTATGCGAGTACAGACTTCGTCGTGTCGCTCCACTATCCGGGCCAGCGTCTCGTTGTGTAGGTTCGTCAACGTGTCGAACTTGTCTGCCAATTCTCTGTTCGTTGTCTCCTTATTCTCATTAATTAATACAGATCTCTGTGAGGCCAATAGATTTCTATGTACACGGCACAGACGGCGGTGTTCCGTCAAGTTCTCGTAGTCCGCAGGTACAGATCCGGAAAGGAACGATTGTAAGTCTAATAGATACTCGTGCCACAGTTTGAGCGCTGTGGCGGCGTCTCCCGACCTGACCAGTGCAGTGGACAGCCGGTGGTAGTGCAGGAAGGTGTCCCGGAACATGGCCTGCCATAGTTCCAGTATCCTGACTATAGAGTGCTCCTCGGAAACGTCCCGATCGATGTCGGGCAGCTCCGCTTTAGCGGGCGCGATGTCAGCTTCGCTTTTGCCGAGGGCGATTAAATTATCGCGCAAGGCAATCAATTTATCTTCTACTATTTCACTTTCCTCATTCACCGGAGCCAAATCCTACAAAAAATACGATATATTATAGAAAAATTTAAAAATAATTTAAGAAATGTTTGGGCATTTTTAGACTACAAAAAACTCTAAATAAACATCATTATTTGCTAAGTAATTCGTGGCCGCATTTGAATATCAAATAATCGACCGTTACTTATTGACGATTCATAAGTCTTGTGTCGTAGCGGTATTGTGTCGCTGCCAGGTGGACAAACAAACTTTACGTGTTGATTACTCCGATGATTTTAAATCGCTCGATTACAGATGTTTTTATTGGAAATCTGTTACGTTGACGAATCGTCTTTAGAATATAAATCTAAATAACGATTTGTTTACTGAATAAAAGAAATATTTTAATGATATGTAAATTATATTAAACGTTTTACATTATCTGTTTACGAAGTCCAGTTAAATTAACTTATAATATAAATAATATATAGCAGTGTGAACCATCTGACCTTCTTATCGTCTGTCAGTGACAACTGCAAACCAACTTTGCCACTAACTTAATCTGTCCACAAAGTAATAACATGGAATTAAGTGGTAACGTTTTTATAAAACAGAAAACAAACTTATACCATCGTTAGTCAAATTTTTCACTAGCACAGTTTGTCGTACGTCGTAATATACTTTGCATCAGTCGCAGCAGTCGCTCAACCAAGTAGCAATTGCGCGGCATTTTACTTAGTGGACAGAGGTCTTAAAGATAACAAAAATGTGTTTATTTTTACCTGTCTCATATTGCAGAATGTATCCTTAGCGTGATGTGCTTTAGCACGCGCGAGGTCCCGCGCTTCTCCGAGGTCCGCGAGGGCGCGCACAGCACCAGCCACCAGCTGTAGGCGGCGTGCCAGCGCGTCAGCGTCAGCCTGAAGCGCGCGCGAACCCGTCTCCGCCGCCACGCGAGCCGCCAGCGAGCGCAGCTCCGCCACGCGCGCCTCTTGCTCTAAACATGCCTAAATGACAAGGACAGACATTTGATTAGGTGTTAACTGAAGAAACTAGGATTAATGTAAATATGTAATGAGTTTACTGGTCTGGTGCTATTCCACGATTAAGACAAAACTTTGGGACAAATACGCGACTGTGACGTCATTGTTTACAATATGTACTTATACATTAAAATTGGTGTAAACGATACATTTTGTATAATAAGCTGTTCGTTCCCGTAACTAGAGGTACTAAAGATGGTATCTTTTACAAAAAAAAATTAAAAAATCGCTAAAGAGAAATGTGTTGCATAAAATTTAACTGGAAAACATTTACACGAGTTTAGAAAAGTGGAACGATGCTATACATAAATTGCCACAAATGATTAAACAATATAATTACTATAAAGTTATTCAGTTTATTTCCTAACGTTTTTTAGGTCGGACTGATTAAAACGAGTATTTATCGCACAACAATTGCACCGTTTTTTAAAAAAAACAAATACTTTATAATAATTGATTTTCATATTATATACCTATTTGGTCTTCGAGACAAATTTAAAACACAATAAAGCGCAAAAAATGGCGTATAAATTCATCAATGCACTTTCTCCCTTTCACAACAACTTTGGCAAAACGTGAAAGTTCATTTTAATGTCTGACGCAGCAACTTTTTTAAAGGGCATCACGTTTGAGGTTCATTTGTTTACTCTTTCCTCTCCATTCCTATGTAATAAAGCATCCTATTTTTTTATTCTAAATATAACATTTTTATGTACTTAACATCCGCCGAGTTATTTGCTCGGCAAATTGACCACGACATTAATTAAAATGCCACTTGCAAATAGTCAATAATATTAACCTTAATTAAAATTAAACCGTTATCATAAACTAATAGTTAAATGAACTGTTGAGTAAACAGTAAACAGGATATTATTAAAATAATAAATACTAAAGTATTATGTAAGAATAAGATCAAATATTATGTGAGCATTGTATATTTTATACTAGCTTTTGCCCGCGATTCCGTTCGCGTGGAATAAAAAATAATAATCAGTAAACTATCTCTTCTTCCAGACGTATGTTCTACATCTACGTCAAATTTCGGCACGATCCGTTCAACTGTTCTGGATGTACCTGCCAACAAACATCCTTCCATCTAAACATTCGCATTTATAATATTAGTAACATAAGATGTAATAGGTTAATGTAATCTATTAGCAACATCTTTGTGCATATTTTTTAATTCATTGTGTTAGGAAGAAAATCCGAAATGTGGCATTGTATTGACCCAACACTAGCCTTACTAAAATGTCGACGTTTATGTCCCCTCACTATTCATTATGACCCTGGACTTTGTAACGAAAGCGTGTCATTCGCACCAAGTGATTCTACCTAATCTTCTTATATATAAAATTCTCGTGTCACAATTTTCGTTCCCATACTCCTCCGAAACGGCTTGACCGATTCTTATGAAATTTTGTGAACATATTGAGTAGGTCTGAGAATCGGCCAACATCCATTTTTAATCCCGCGCGGACGGAGTCGCGGACGACAGCTAGTAGTTGCAATATGGATAGCGATTACCATCCGGATAGTTTTTTACTAGTTGTATATTGTCTAGATATCTTTGCGTAGGAATATCTGTAGAATGTATTCAGAGTGTAATATAAACGGTGTATTGACGTCAAAGCATTTCGTATGGATTATAAATAAACGTTATATTCGGAGCAGTTGCGATCCACAACGGTAAAGACATTAAACCTCTTGCACACAACGAAAACTGAAGCGAATACTATGTTATGAAAATTAAAAAGCTTTGCTTATAGCAAGCAACAAAATACGTTAGGTGTTAATAATGCACACTCTGCGGTTCATTTTCGTTTCGCTTCGGATCGCTCTAGCAGTGTGCTGCAGACCTAAAGCGTCGTGCGTAAGATGTGCCCGCTATTTACATCAATGTTGCAAGTGCTGGGAATCGATCCAAGTTTTAGATGATAATAAATATTGTATTAATTTATTGTATTCTACTGTGTGTATTTTCTTTATTTATTTATTTATAAGAGAAGGGGGAAAACGAGCGGCGGGAACACCGAGGTGATTATGACACCCATGGGCATCTGCAACACCAAAGAAACTGTAGATGCGTTGCCGGCCTTTATTGTATATATATATATTATTTATATTTTCGCTTTGATTTTATTATCACCGTGTGTTATTACAGTCACAATATGTCGCACGTAAATTGTTATGTTACTTATTATAATACTAATATTATAATTTCGTTTGCATGTATGGATGGATGGATATCTTAATCTTAAAAATTCATTAGAAATTGAAACGATGACTATTTAAGTGTATTCAAACACAGAGTGTGGTTAAGGATCTCTCTCTTACTCTGTGGGCTTATTTGTGCTATATAACATGACGTCATACAAGGAATTGGGTCAACGATGCTCTTCCGCTAAGCCTGGCTTAATATTAACACAATGTTTATAAAACCAATTAATGCCTGTTACTAAGCAAGTATATTTGCGTATACATAAACATAGATAATTGTAGTAACTTGAGCACGCAACTTTAACAATAGATTTAACGAAAACAGTTTACTTCGCTGAACCCAATTTCGCATCGTTTAGATGGATGCGATGTGGATGGATGGATGCGTGTTTAAAGACATCTCTAGAACAGCTGAACGGATCTCGATAAAATTTGGCATACGTATAGAACATAGTCTGAAAGAACACTTAGGCTACACAAATATTCTTTTTCATATATCCTCGCGGACGGAGTCGCGGGCGAGAGCTAGTTTATAAAATATAAACAAAGATAACGACATTGGAAATGGTGCTTAAATACAGACAGGTCACATTTAAGACCTAATAATTTAAATCCTAGATAACCTAAAAGATAATTCTTTTGTTAGTCAAAACTGTTGAAATCAATAATCTAGATAAAATGATCGATGGATTTGCAAAACGTCACGTCTGATCTGTGGCATGGCACAATTTAATAACTTCAATATTAAGTCGATTCTTATCGATTATCTTAAAAACGTGATAATATTAGTTTTGATTTTGGTCACGAGAATATATAATTTTTACTTTACTTACAAATTTAATCTTTAACGTTGACGTAACGTTAACTTACAACAGTTTTTTTTTAGGTTAGAGGTGACTAAAGTCAGCTGTCTTCGGTGTGGCCATCTGTTTAAAAATTCATTTTAGTCCGTGTCATAGCTAATTTTGCAGTTCGGAGCGATGTTAAAATGCAGCGCACGCGCAAACTTTATTAAAAACTCCGATGACGTGATCGTTGTTTGCGGTACGGCACTAACGTATCTGTTTCTGTCTGGGATCATGAACTTTTTGTCGAGATACACTAGTACTAACTCATATCTATTGTCACTAAACGGTCTACTGTTCTTTAAATTACAATTGGAATAAAATTCTGATACGTTCAAAATAAGCACCGAATTCCTGCTTTAAAATTGTTTTATTTTTATACTTATCCAGGATCTTTATGTACATTTTTTCATAGTAAATCTACACTAACATATAATGTCCACTTAACGACTGTTTTCGGCAGTCAGTGACAATTTTGTAAATAAATTTAAAAGCCTTTCTAGTCGGAACCCTTACAAAATGTATGTAAGCGATATATATCACGTGCAGATATCAAACTAATGTAATTTGCGAACAGCAATCCCGTGTAGCTATCGATCCAGGGGCTGGCCCAAAGGCAAGGGCGCGCCCGGTCACGCCCGCGCCTGCCGCAATTAAGAGAATCCTAATGCAGAGTATTAGTAGCATAGACACGCCAACACGTTTAAATAAAATGTTTAAATTACTTTGCAATATTTAGATATTTTTAATTACATGTTGTTTTGATTAATAAATAAATTTTGTAAGTTAAAAATAGTGAATAAAATATAGGTATTAAATAGTAATTATTTTATTTACCAAATGGATCGACATAATTCGATAATACTAAAGATTAGGTAGTTGGGATAGATTGGCTACAAAGCTAGAGGAAGACCAAAGAAAGTAGAGAGAATAGAAGATAGAAGGATTGGGTGAAAGAAGGATTGTGTGAGGGTGAATTCAGATAGGATTACAGATAGAGATGTATGGAGGAGTAGTATAGATTGCGCCGACCCTCCGTAAGGATAAGGGTAGGTTGATGAGGCATGTAACAAAAATATAAATTCTAAGATGATACAGAAATTAAACAAATAAAATGACAAGCTGTAAAAAGCGTCTATATTCTACAGATACGGACAATCGATTTGGTTTTGTTAGTAAGTGACTGGGAGTAAATTTTGATGATTCATTTCAAGTTCAAATGTAAGTAGGTATATTACATTTAAATGTTATGCGTCTGGCGACACTTCAGTGTGACAAATATGTACAAATTTAGACGTATACACTCTGGGGAGGGTAACTCATTCTCGGCGCCATTTATCCAGACTTTGATGGCGGCTCTTTTTAATATATTATATTTCAAATGATAAAAAATGCTTTACAGGCAATTCAATTATAATTTCTTATTTCATCCGAGTATAATAATATATAAGCCTGGACTAAAAGGTCTAGAATTGGACCTAGAAGTTTAGAAGTGGATAATAAGTGAAACTTAAACCAAGTTGAAGTAAACAAGGCAATGAACGAATGAACTTAGTACAAAAAAACTAAAACTAGCCATATACCGTACAAGTGGATTATATGGCATGAATAAGATTAGCCTTATGGTGTACTAGTTTTTTTAATTTACCGAAAGGAAGCAGAAGAACAACCACATATCACGACATTGTTACTGCATAATTCAAATAACGGATTTATTTTCTAAATACCCTTTAAATTAAATTACAAATAAAATAATTAAGTTGATTTTTCCGTACTACGGCACCACCGGCGGGGAAGCAGCGCGGGGGTCCCTTCCAGACCTCACACGCCGCCCCGCGCGCCCTCACACCGCGACCTTCAGTTGGTCTTCAGCACTCCGCGCGCCGACACATCAATCATATT